GCTGCTGCCATCAACGTAGGTGGGGGTCGACGAGCACGTTGAGCGAGGTGTGTCCTGGATACTCGCATGAGCTGAAGGATCACAGCGACGAATGACTGCAACATCGGCACTGCCTTGTGAAAGTACAGGGCGTCGTACAATCACGGCAGAAAGGGGCGGCCCCGACCAGATTTGTTCCCGCGGCAACAAGTGCAGCGAGGCAGAAAATCTGGAATTTAAGCAAAACATAACTATGTGGCAAAGCCACAAAGTGCGGGAAGCATAATGTGATTCAGAAACTTTGTATTTCAATGAAGTTTATGAGATCAAACAATGACACTAAAAGGTAGCGAAAAAGCATAGCTTTAAGCAAACACATAACCATGTGGCCAATCACAAAGTATGGGAAGCATAAAGTAACTCAAAAACAGTATATTTTATTAAAGTTTATGAGATAAACAAGTACGCTAAAAGGGAGCGAAAAGGCAAAGCCTTAAGCAAACACGTAACCATGTGGCAAAACCACAGAGTACGGGAGACATAATGTAACTCAAAAACTTCGTATTATATTGAAGTTTATGAGAAGAAACAATTACGCTGAGAGGTAGCGAAAAGGCAAGGCTTTAAGCACACCAAAACAACATACATAAATGTAATGTATTACCCAAGCCAAAGAGAGAATTCAAAACGCAGAACACGACATTACGTGGCCACGTGGTGAATGGCCAAAATGGCGGGAAAGAAAACAAAATGGCGGGAACAACATTGCGCCCGTAAATTACTGTGACGTGAGCCACAGACGAGCGATAAACGTTACAATTTACGAATGGGAAGACCCTAAGGTCACGGCCCATAACAGGTAACAATGTAGCAGCATATAATGAATGTAGAAACACGCAAAATATAAAAAACAAATAATAAGCTTTAATTTCCACAAGGGATACAAAGTACGTCCGTCCGTGGAGGTGACAAAGCAGTTATGAGTTTTGGTGTGACGTCATGACTTCCGGGTCACGTGCCGACTGAGAGGGCGCTGCCTCCTGGGCTGGTTGGGACAACTTTCTTCAGCAGCTGGATCTCACACAGTTCGTCTCTCTGTCAAAGACAGCAGTAAATGCAATACGGAGTAATGCAGGATAAGTTAAAAAATTACATTTATTCATGCTTATTTCATGCTTGTTATTTAACCCATCAAACTCAAACATCAAAAGAGAGACACCATTTTGTCCCACCCTACGTTGATACCACCGGATCCCATGCTCAGGGATATGGTCGAGGCGATGGATGAAGATTTCTCCTGGCTAACACCTGCACTAGCGTTCAAGGTGCCGAGGTTTAGGAAATATGACTTTCCTATTAATACCTTTGAAGTGGCTGACCAGGCGCATACCTTGGGCGAGGACCTCCAGAGGATGACTGGTTTATCCAAGCCGACCATACTGAAGATCCAAGGTTCCCCTTCATAGAGACATCACTCAAACCCTTGTCGGCTTTGGCGTCTTCATCCCAGGCCATGGAGCAGGACTTGACTGAGACTAATGCCAATTGTCTAGATCACCTTCAGACAGTAGACTTTCAACAACGGCAGATAGACCACATGAGGAATCACCCAAGGCCACGGAGCAGGACTTGACTGAGACTAATGCCAATTGTCTAGATCATCTTCAGACAGTAGACTTTCAACAACGGCAGATAGACCACATGAGGAATCACCCAAGGCCACGGAGCAGGACTTGAGTGAGACTAATACCAATTGTCTAGATCACCTTCAGACAGTAGACAGCAGATAGACCACATGAGGAATCACCTTAGCCATCTGTCACCTGCCCTTTGACAATCCCGCACACTTAACCAGTGGCAAGTGTTGTTGTGATCGCTCACATCAGCCCGGCCAAGCCCAGCCCAATACAACAGTTCCTGATTCTTAACATCAAACATCAGAACACATATGTAGCCATCACTCTACCGTCTCACCTAAGGACTCACCTCAGTTGTTTGATGATAAGAGGCGAACGTCTTAGGAGGCGTCTCCTTACCAGGGCTTACCTCAACACTACACTTGTTCATAGACGCCTCCCTACAGGGATGGAGTGCACATCTACAGCACTTAGAGCTATTCGACTCCGGCAGCTAAAGTCATTGCCTTGGCACACCGTCCATCTTTTGTAAGGGTGAAAAATCAAGATCCCACTACAGCATCACCTCAATTCTTGGCAGAGTACCAACCGACACATGAAAGGCAGCACCATTACTATGAACTTGGTGGCTCTTAATTCAGTGTTGGCCATTCCAGAGAATCGTAAGGTGATCAAAGTGCCGGAAGTACAAGCCCTCCAACACGCCTTTAGGCTTGATAATCAGACGGCCAAATTCTGTCCCCCTGCTTGGAATTTGAATGTGGTGCTTTGAGGTTTGCGAGGGCCCCCAAGCCCCTCTGTTCGAGGCCCTCCACGCAACTTCCTTCTTCAACCTCACCAAGCAAACAATATTTGTCTTCGTTTTAGCCACAGCTGTGAGGGTTAGCGAGCTACATGTACTCGATATTACCCGAGTCCGTTTTTAACGTGGTATGCAGGGAGCACTTCGCTTCGGGCTGTGCTGAGATTTTACATCTAAAAATTAGCTACCAGGGCAACCTGGTCCTTCACCATTTTACCAGTCTCTACAATTGCAGGGGTCGAGGATGAGGAAGAACTACTCTTGTACACACTTTACAAGATTTTAACCGCTGCTCTAAGACTAGGCATGGTAGGCGGAAATGGATGTTATCCCAGATGTCCACGACCAACGTCAGTCGCAACACCATTTCACTATAGTTACATGCAGTCACCTTCATGCATACGATATCGCACAACAGAGCCTGTCTTACCTGACTCCCACAGTGTTTTGACATGCCCGTTAGGGGGATTATCAGGCTGATTGCCTTGGCTCCGTATTTCAGTTTTCTGATTTTAGCTCAGCTATTTTTTTATTCTTACTGTTTTTTAATCTAGACTTATCCTCAACTCTCAGATTGAGCGAGCAATTCCGATCTGCGCTTGAGACGCCTAACAGTCACCTTGACACGTGTGTTTTATGAACCGTCTGATACAGATGTATTAAGGAGTAAAGCAGGATAAGTAAATAATTTAGTTAAATCTAAATATTATTTACATTTGTATACTTATCCTGCATTACTACATCTAAGGGCCCACCTGTCCCAGACCTGCCTACCAACAATAGCTTCAGAAAATCTTTTATGGGTGACAAAAGAAATGTGGTGATATGATGACATCACTACCGGTGATCTCGTGAAAGGTGTGTGAGTTAGAGTAGACTTGATTGGAAACAACTTTTTCTTCTGTTTAGGACCATCGCAAAGTGCTGTTTCCGTCATAAGCAGTAGCAGGATAAATATACAAATGTAAAAAATATTTAGATTTTACTAATTATTTGGCAAACAAAACCTACTAAAATAACATTGCATACAGAGCTGAGTGTGTGAAACGACCTTTGATCTTGACATTGTGAATAATTAAAATAACAAAATACTCGTATATCTGGAGTGAGCTTTTTACGACAAGCATCCTGTGAGGATACCATAAATGGTGATTCCCTACTTGTCTAGCAGCTGGCCAAGGGATAACTCCCATCGTTTTCGTTTAAGCAATATACATCCTTACATCCAGCATTTGTTTACTTCAAAATATATAATAAACCACTGATTAAAAGAATGATCACCATGTTAAAATATTGTCTTATTTGGCCAATTTGACATTTAACATTCAAGAAGTTGTATCTTCTCCCTCTCATGGGGATAGTCTAGGCGTTGTTACTTCTTGGTTAGTATCAAAATACATGGATTGTGATCGCAGTATCTTTCTGCTCAACCTGAGGTATGTCAATGAATTTGTACATATTTGGATGCTAAGATGATTTGTGGCGTCGTCCCACTGCTCAGAGACATATAATTGTGCTTCGTGACAAACTCATGTTTGGTGTTATTGGTGGTTGGGCATCCTCTTTGAGGACATTTCCCAATGAATGGAAGTTTGCATCTGGTCTTAATCATGAACTTGTATCCTGCAAAAGCCAAGTGCCGATAGAGTTGGGAATACGCTGTAAATCAATACTGTTTTCTATCTGTAATTCCTTTTATAGCCCAAATCTTACTAAATGATTAATATGTTCACTCACTCATTGATGTATGTTTTAAATGTTTTAACTCAGTACAGTGTATGTGAATAGATTTCACCAATTAGTTGTGTTGTTACATTTTGTGAGATATTCACCAACTACTTGTCTTATGTGAGATGCCCCCCTTAATCCCCTATTGTCTTACCCATCACCCTGCTCAGGTGAATTTGTACCCACAACAATAGGTGTGGGACAAGTAGGAGGACCCCCAATAAACCACCAGGCAGACTAGGCACTGTCCTGATAGTTGAAATTGTGCAGGGCGTCAAGCAGCAGGAACCGGTTTTAACATCCAGGAAGGGGATGAAGGGGATTCCTCTTCCTGGAGGATATTTTTCGTTTGGGGGAAGACTTTGCGTGTCATTTTTTATCAGTACTATTTTTACATTACACTATTTTCAATTTTAAAATTAATTTTGGTCATGCATTTGTGATTAAGTTCTTCAATACGTTCAGTTAACATTGCAGGTGTGTATTGGCTATCCCTTTGTTTACAAGTACAACAGATTTTATAAAGGTGTATCAGCGCATACCGGTACATAAAAATGTATAGATGTAGAAACTCTTTATAATACGGATTTTGAATGACTGAAGAATGCAGTTCATCAAACTATTACTACTTCTGTAGGTGCAGTTGCTGTTTTTGTTATTGCTTTTCTATTTATTCAAAATGTGTTGATTCTTTCAATTGTTCATGAGTATTATCTTGAACATTTGAAGAATCGGAAACATCCTCACCTCAAGTTGTTGTTTTTTATCACTAATAAGGGCTAGAAACTGTATCTGGTAATGTATCCCATGCCCTGCAGGAGAAAATTGAGAACATTGAAAACTTGTGTTTGCAGATCTCCGGTGTTTGAGAAGGTTCCCCTGGAGCAGGAGAAGGCTTCCACACAGTACACCCTGGAGTTCACCTTTGACTCGGACTGCCGCTGCGCCATTACCGTCTTCTACCTGGCAACAGAGGAGATCAGTGGGGGACACATTTCGTACGTCATGGTTTGCATTTTTTTCAATTCCAAATAACTTTTATTTATCCTGCAAAACTCCTTAATGCATTTACTGCTTATTTTTGACAGACACAAAGCTGAGTGAGGTCCAACTGAAGAAAAAGTTGTTCCAACCTGTTGTGAAGCCTACTCTCTCACAGCTGCCACGTGATCAACCAGAAGTGATGACATCACAGAATCTTCATATTACTTGTCACCTTACACACATGTTGTATTAGAAATTATCCCAGCTATTTGGATTAATTACATTAAGTAATACGTTACCACTGTTATACCGAGGCTGTTGTCTCCCACAACTGCTGCTATAGCGAAATCTACCACAGAGATCTCAATTACCTCATGCAGCACGTGCGTAGCCACCTAGCTGCCATGTGACACCCTTCACTCTTGTCTCCTTCGTCTGCTTAGCAAGACGTGTTTTCTCCTGCTGAAGCGTTCCTGGAAGATTTGGTGATATTTATTATAGTTTATTCTCTAATAAACTGTGCTTTTATGGGGCGTTGCGGTAGCTACGCTTGGTTCTAATTTTCCCGCCAAACGGAAAATTTTTCCCGCCCTTTTTTCTCTATACTTGCGGGGTTCGCGTATGCACGTTGTGTTTTACGTTTCCCCTGTTCTTGTATGTTTTGGGGGTTAACATAACTTATTTCTTTAATAAAAGTTATATGTGTATGTTATATGTTCACATTGCTCGTTTATTTTCTTGTGAAAATGCTCGTTTGTGAATCGTTGTGGTGCGTGCGTTGTAACCATGTTTTGTTCTTTGTTTATAGCAAACAATGTCTGACATGGATATGTCCCCAGTATCCACCCCCTCTACCCCTGCTCCTCGGAGTTGTGGGGTGTGCAGAAAGTTTTTGTCATCCCGGGATCCCCACGATCGTTGCCCGCGGTGCAGGGTTCCTTGCGGGGACACCCGGTGTACCCTGTGCGAAGGTCTGGGGCCTGCGGAGTTTGAGCGGTACCGGCTGTACGTACAGTCCGTCTCCACCCCTGTGGTGGCCGGTTCGTCCGGTCGGGGTCCCCGTGCGGGTACCACCTCCTCGGCTGCGGCGGATCCCCTTGCGGCCCTCGGGCTGTCTGGGGCTTCCGTCGCCGCATTATTGTCGAAAATTGTGGACTCCAAGCTGGCGGCCTTATCGCAAGATAGGCCGCTGGCTGTTCCGTCCCCGGCCTCTTCGGTGGCCGCGGGTTCGGACGCGGGGTCCACCGGTACGGCGGCGGCTGCCGTGGTTACCGGTCCTTCCCCCGAACCGTTGCTTCTGCTATCGGTTAAGGACCGCGTTGCCATGGTGTATGACCTCTTCGAGGACATGCCAAAGCCCCTGCCGATACCGCGGGGAATCCACGGTTCCGTGGGTTCCTCCGAGGTATACGACGAGACGTCCGACAAGGCTTTCCCGGCATCAACCTTGCTGCGCGGGATTAAGCCTTCTTTGGAGAAGGCCTTCACGGCTGCCTCCGGTCGGGGTCTCCCGTTACCTCCCCCGTCGTGGAGAAAAGGGTCTTTCCCAGTACATGACCTTGCCTTTCCCGAGGCTGGTCCTTCTGCGGAAGCCCATGTGGAGCGTTTGGGGGTCCGTGCCCCACCGGTTGCCACGGTACCACAAGGTACCTTGCAACAGCTGGACACCCTCGCTCGACACTCCATGCTGGCAATGTCTCACGGAGACACATACCTGGCTGCAGCGGCCAGTCTGGTCGAAGGTTCTCCCACGGACCGAGACCAGCGCATTTACAACTGCTTGCTCGGTTTGAATGCTTCCCTGGAGTACGTTGCCGGGGCTTCGGCCTTTGTTTCCGGCACGTGCCATTTTCTTCGGCGCCAGTCGTATCTGGTTGCTTCAGGGTTGGACGCTGCTAATCAGGAGGTGCTCCTTTCGCAGCCTTGGTCTGCTCGGACCCTGTTTAATAACAAGATCCCTGGGGTTCTGAAGGAACAACAGGCCGCTGTGTCTGCCGAGGCCTCTCGGCACACACTGGATCTTGTGGGGTCCTTGCATAGGCGCCTGGGTGCCGCTCCGAAGCGGAGCGCGCCCCAGGATGCTGCATCCGGCAGGCCTAAGGGGTCGGGTCCTTCTTCCTCCGGGAAGAAGCCCCGCTCTGAGGGCTCCGGTAAGGGTTCTCAGCAGCCCTTTCGCGGGAAGAAGGGGAACTGGGGGAAGCCCAAGTCGTCTAAGGACGGCAAGGGCCCCTCCAGGTGACTCTCATTGGAGGGGTTCGTATGCCGACAGCGCCAACTTCGGTTGGCCCGTAGGCGAACCCGAGTCACTTGGCCCTGGACAGTTGCGCCTGCCGCAGCCCGTCCGGCCCCCCTCTCTTTCCCCAGTGGGAGCCAGACTCCAGACTTACTGGGAGAATTGGGAACAAGTGTTCGACGACCCGTGGGTGGTCAACACGATTCGGTACGGCTATCGGCTCGATCTCATAGCGAATCCGCCGCTCACCGTTGCCCCGTCGGCAGGTTTCTATTCGGAAACCGATCTTCCCTTCCTCGCCGATGCCATCGGCAGGTTGGTGGAGAAGAGGGCAGTTCGGGAGTTAGCTCTACCAGAAATAACACCGGGGTTTTACTCCAGGATATTTCTCGTTCCCAAGAAGGACAGTGCCGAACTCAGAATGATTCACAACTTGAAATCGTTCAACGAGTTCTACCTGCGCAAACCGCCCAAGTTCAGAATGTTGAGCTTGACGGACCTGAAAGCACTGATCATGCCGGCCGACTGGCTAGCTTCGATCGACCTGAAGGATGCTTATCTGCATGTTCCGATTCACTCGGATCATCAGAAGTATCTCAGGTTTGTCTTTCAAGGCAGGCACTACGAGTGGGTTGTACTCCCATTCGGTCTTTCATCCGCTCCCTGGCTGTTCACCCGGTTAACCACCCCCATAGTGGGGTTCCTCCACCGGAGGGGTGTCCGGTACTTCGCGTACCTGGACGACTCGCTAGTAGCAAATCGAATGTCGGACACCCTGTCACGCCATCTCGTTTTCGCACGTCGGCTCTTGGAGCAATTGGGGTGGATTGTCAATCTCCCCAAGAGCGAGTTAACCCCTTCTCAGAACTTGCAGTTCATCGGAGGTCGGTTCAACACGGTGTCCCATCGCCTATTTGTCCCCCCAGACCGGTGGCACAAAATTCAGGCGATGATTGCCAAAGTCTTAGCGGTGCAACAGACTGTTCACTTTTGGGAACAGCTGTTAGGGCTACTTGTATCAGCCCAGGACTGCACCGAACGGGGTCGTCTCCAACTCCGCCCGCTGCAACGGTTTTTAATCCAGTTGTTAGCAACGGAGGTGAACAGTGCGACCGTCGCCCTCCCGGATCGGCTCCGACCGCATCTGGAGTGGTGGACGCTCCCTTACAATGTCTTATCAGGAGTCTCTATGCGGCCCTACCGGGCCACGTTGAACCTGTATACAGACGCCTCTCTAGTGGGCTGGGGCGCCCATCTAGAGGGGGAGGTGAGCTCGGGGCTGTGGTGCGTAGACGAACTAGGTCTTCACATCAATTGTCTCGAGTTCAAGGCAGTGATCAACGCAGTCAATCACTGGAAGCATCGTCTCGTCGACGCCCGGCTCATGCTGGCGACCGACAACACGACGGTAGTGTCCTATGTGAACAAACTGGGGGGAACCCACAGTCACTCGCTACTCGATCTCACGTTCGAGTTTTACGCTCTGGTGGACAGTGTCCCGTGCCAGATACGCGCCCGTCACATCCCAGGTGTGCGGAACGTACTGGCCGATGCTCTATCGGGGCCTCAGGATCCGAGCCCCACAGAGTGGATGCTGAACCCAGTGGTGTTTCAGTGGCTGTGCGAACGTTTGGGTCGTCCGATGGTCGACCTGTTCGCAACACGGTTCAACAATCAACTCCCGTTGTTTGTATCACCAGTCCCGGACCCGAGGGCCATCGATCACGATGCTCTCGCGTTAGACTGGACGGGCTTGGACGCTTATGCTTACCCGCCGACAGCGTTGATACCACACATTCTAAGCCGGCTTCGAGGAGTTCGCTGTCGAATGTTACTGATCGCGCCCATGTGGCCGAACAGATCGTGGTACCCCGACTTGCTGACCCAGGTCACGCAGTCGCCACTCCCACTGCCTGTGAGACCGGATCTCTTGATCCACCCTCACACCCGTCAGCTTCATCCAAACGCAGGGCAGTTCAATCTGCACGCGTGGATGTTGTCACCGAGCGTCTGAGGAGTAAAGGTTTTTCTCGCCGGGCGTCTCGGGCATACGTTAGTATGCATCGTGATTCTACCCAGAAGGTGTATAATGCACGTTGGGTTATTTTCACGAAGTGGTGTTGTAAACATCACATTCATTCGCCAGATAAGGTATCTGTGCAGGATATTGCTCGTTTCATGTCTCACTTGCGAGAGACCCGGAAACTCTCCGGGGGTTCCATTGCCAACTATGTCTCGTCCGTTGCTACGGTACGGGACGTTGCTATGGGTACCAGTCTCTCCAAAGAGCCGGTGATACGGGGTATTATCAAGGGTTTCAAACAGCACGATCTTAAGAAGGGCCGCCTTCGGGCACCGGCCTGGGATCTTTCCCTAGTGTTGCAATCACTCACGGAAGCTCCGTATGAACCCTTGCATAGTGCTTCGTTCCGGCATGTGACTTGGAAAACAGCATTTCTCCTCTCCTTTGCCACGGCGGCACGTGTATCCGAAATTCATGCACTCGATGTCGCCAAGGTACGATTCGATAGGGGTGACGAAGGAGCGGTCCGCCTGGGCCTGCTCATGGGCTTCGTCGCCAAGAATCAGAGAGTCGGGCAAACGGAGAGAGAATTCACTGTAAGATCCCTCAAAGAAATCTTACATCCTGCTGATACTGAGGACAGAGCGCTGTGTCCGGTTAGGGCCCTTAAGTATTATCTTAAGGCTTCGAATGAACGTAGACAAGGGCGTGACCGTCTGTTCATATCGTGTAACCCTAATCGCACGGTTGACATAACTCGCAACTCGATTGCGTTGTGGCTTCGTTCTGTCATCAATCTGGCGTACCGGTCTCGGGGGTTACCGGTAGCGGGGTCAAACCCGCACGAGATCAGGGCGCTAGCGGCAACATTTGCCCTACACTCGAATATCTCTGTTCACAGAATATTACGAGGTTGTTACTGGCGTTCTGACTCGGTTTTTGCCAATCATTACCTCAGAAAGGTTTCTGATGAAGACGTGGAGGGGGTGCACCGTCTTGGGCCGCTGATCGCGGCACAAGCGGTCATCTAGGGGGTGTGTCCAGCGCAATTCCAAACTCCGCAGTCGTCAGTCCTTGCACGGTGGTCAATCTGGGTCGTCTCCAATGTTCCCACGCCGTGGGTACAGGAGTGGGGGTCCTGCAAACCAGCGCACTCACACCACAGGTGAGGCGGCTTTTTGTGTGTTTTGTCCTTATTTGTATTTTGACAATTATGCATTTAATTGTCTGTCGTGTATTCCAACCTTGCGATACATGCTTACGAATACTGGAATTAGGTCACGCGCCTAATGCATACTTTAAGTAGGCTTGCTCTGGGATATACGGTCTGAAGGAAATTAATTTCCCTCTTTTCGACTGTTTAACCTGATCTAAGATTTAGCTCACGCAGATACAGTGTTCTCATCCGCTGCGGCGATGAAATACCTATCCAGTGGGGCCGTTTGGAGTCACCAATCGTTTTGGCATTGACGATTGAGCCTTACGGTATGCGCTTGACAGTGCTTTGGTATTCCTATAGGGTAACGCCTAGCTAGGTGCATGCGCATCGAGTGCTTCCGCCTTGGTGTTTACTTCCGCTGTTCGGAAGGAACGCTAGCAGTCAGGATTCGGGTTGTAGGTGCTCCCCACCGCCTACTGTGGTAGTCAGCCTCGGTATAACAGTGGTAACGTATTACTTAATGTAATTTGTAGAATTTTCCTATTCGGAATATTCTATAAGTAATACGTTACCACTGGGCTGCTGCCCGCCCGTCCGTCCCCCGAGCACTTGCTCTCGCAGGAGACAAGAGTGAAGGGTGTCACATGGCAGCTAGGTGGCTACGCACGTGCTGCATGAGGTAATTGAGATCTCTGTGGTAGATTTCGCTATAGCAGCAGTTGTGGGAGACAACAGCCTCGGTATAACAGTGGTAACGTATTACTTATAGAATATTCCGAATAGGAAAATTCTACAATTTTTTTGGATTATTTTCTTGTGTTTAACATAAATTGTATTCTATTGGTAAGAGTATTGGTTCACAGTACACTTGTAATTGTGCTATAGCAGTAATATTTTGCATGTGAAGGTGACATTTGTCACTGTAACATTCACGTTTGTTGTTCCAATCCACCATTTGGAATTACTAACATAGTCTCATATCTTAGAGGCATACGATTATATTCTTGTTTGGATTGATGTTATAATATTTTTGAATACCTGCGCCTTCGGGCCCTGCTTCGATAGCTGTGTCGGATGGCACTGCAGTGATACCCTTGCCTCCAGGCTCCTCAACAACTCCTGTTCTTACGAGCGCCTAGGCAATACCTGCGTATGACGGCACCTTACATGGACTCGTCAGGGATGCATAATTTTATGCAGTCCATGTTGCAGCTGACGTTTGAGCCTCAACTGTATCTGGCGCCTGTCTACCAGTCTGCTGCCTACAGGGTTCTTACGCACCTCCGGCGCCTGCGCCGCCGCCAGGGCCTGCAGTACCGCAGTGCCTCGGGTTCACCGCCAGTGCCTCAGGCGACACATCAGAACCACCAACTAATGACATATGTCTCACCGCTACTTGGGCCTTAGATGCATTCAGCATCCCCTGGGAAGGGCTATAAGCCCATGCTTTTCTGCCTCCTGTACTTCTTCCCAGGGTGATACACAAAATCAAAGCTACCAAGGGCCTCGCTCTGACTTCGGTTGCCCTGGTGAGGGGGTGCTGCATCGACCTCAGAAGCCTCACAGAAGATGATCCACTACCCCTCCAAGAGTGGACGAACTTACTCATCCACCCTCACAGCAAACTACCTCACCCAACGCCATGCAGATTTCATCTGCACACTTGGTTTGTCTTAAAAAGGCGCTAAGTGCTAAAGGCTCTTTGACATTGGAAGCTAGGGCCATTGACTTGTCGCAATGTCTACCCTTCTACCTGGGGTTTATAAGATGACAAGTGGCGATTGTTTGAAACCTCTTGTAAGGCAAAGAATCACGATCCCACTACAGCGTCACCTCAATTCTTTGCCGTGTACCTCCTACACGGCAAACGACACTTGAAAGGTATCACCCTTATGACGTAATTCAGTGTTTCAATTTTTCTCTTGGTTTTGGCCATTGCAGTGTGGCTAAGTGAGTTACATTCCCTCAACGACCCGCTTTGAGCGTGGTATGCAGGGAGCGGTTCACCTTGGGCTGTGCAGGGATTTCATAGCAAAGAATCAGGTACCAGGACAGCCCGATCGGTCCTTGACCATTCCACCAATCTTCCCGATTGTGGGGGTCGAAGAGGAGGGTGAACTCACTCCTCTGGTGCCCTATGGGTACACTACAAGTTTTCATCTGCTGCTCCAAAACTAGGCGTGGCACGAGGAAACGGTTGTTCATTCCCATACCCCTAGACGTCCATGACCGAAGTTAATCGCAACATCATATCACTATTATGCAGAGTCATCCTGCAGGTTTACGAGATTGCTAACCTTGATCCACTGAGAGCAAACAATCCTCTTGAGATATTGGCGGTTGCCTCTATGATGGCTCTACATTGTCATATATTAGTAATTGCTCTATTAGAGCCATCATGGAAGGATGCTTTTGGTTATAAACTCTGTCTTCACAAGCCAATACCTGAGGGTCTTGACCTTGGATGATATCGAAAGGGTTCATAGTTTTGGCCCTCTGTTCGGAGCTCCTTCAGTCCCGACAGTGGGGTTATGATCAGTTGGCTTGATAAATCAGTTTCTAGACACATTCTAGCACACGCTAATTTCTCTTGCTGTTTTTCACCAGGATGTCCTCATACTCTCGTACCGTCAATGGACAGGTTTGGTCGAAGTAGTTGCAGATCTGCGCAAAGTTATGCGCTAAAAGACTGCTGGAAACTACTGCAGAGTTTATGTCACCCGGGCCTAAATCCAAAGATTTGCCCTATGCCGTACTGTCTGATACAGATGCATTAAGGAGTAATGCAGGATAAGTAAAACATTTTGTAAAATCTAAATATTTTTTACATTTGTATACTGAATTACTATGTCAAAAGGCCAATCTGTCGCAGACTTGCCTCCCCGCTATAGCTTCAGATGACAAGCAGTAATATGAAGATTCTGGTTGATCACGTGGCGGCTGTGAGAGGGTCGGCTTCACAACTAGTCAGAACAAATTTGTCTTCAGCTGGACCTCACATAGCTTAGTTTCTGTCAAAAGTAAGTAGTAAATGCATAAAGGAGTAATGCAGGATAAGTATACAAATGAAAAATTTATTTAGATTTTACTATTCGAACCATTCATTTCCCCTAGTTAACATTTGCATCTTGATACAGTGATCCCTCGCTATTGGGCTCTTCGATAAAGCGCTACCTCGGTTACTACGCGCGGTATCACATGGCTCCCAAAATTTATGTACACTTACTGAGAGTTTTACACAGCCGTGATTGTATAGTTGTTCGTTGTTCATTTGCACATAACGCTTCTCATTGCATAATCAACCGTTTATCGCTGAATGGAGTTCTAAAAATCTGTTTGAAAACATCCGCGGCAAGTCCCAGAAATACAATTCTTCTACTAGTTAACTTTTCACACTATACATCCTTTGATCTTAGAAGCGCATGCATGCAATAAAAGAGAACCACAAGCGAAGTTTATTTTCTTAATTATTGGTCAATCCAATTTGAGGCGACACTGTCAACTCACATGTAGTTGCTGTCACAACACGGCGGTAATTCCTTTTGATTCGGATCAAGTAACCGTATCATACCAATTAATCTGGCTTGAATGTGTCTCTATATTTGCATGAATGTGTATGAATGCGCGTAGTGCTGGTCAAAACTCTCGTTTTCCGTATTTTAAGCAACATGACCAATCAATGCCACTGAATCACTCTGTACATGTATAATGAATTGTGATTGGCTCTTCACTCATAGCGTCTGTTACTACCATTATCGATCAATATTTTCATGTAAGTAGACTACATTCACATTGAATGTGACAGTTAAGGCTTGTAAATAATAACAAACGGCGAAAACATAATGGATATATATTTTTAAACTATGAACGGTAAACAACTTGTATCATTGCAATGTGCGAGACAAGGCTAAGATCGTGAGATTGGCCGAGCGCGCTCCCCCGCCTCGGCCTCGGTTAAACGGCTCATCGCCTATAACGCCCACCAATTATTTGGACCCCATTGGTAGCGAGGGACCACTGTACCTGCCTTAAACCAAAAGTCCCACCTGTCTGGAACTTGCATGTCTGAGAGTCTTTGAAGAAACTGAAGATGTTGATCGTACCAACATGTTAAAATGGTTGCAGAACCTCAATGACCAAAGAATTTATCTATTTTCTGTGTGTTTTATAAGATTTTCATGACAATGTTTATGTTGGCTGCTCACACAGGTACCACCCAAAGGATCCAGCACTCAGCTCACAGACATACCATTACAAGAAGGGTGCAGGGCAAATCTTCAGTCAGGCCGATCACATCATCGACCCCAGCAAGTTCAGTGATGAGGAGGTATGGATCATATGCTAATGAAAGCACATATTATCCCAGAAAACAATTCAGTTTTCAGTTCATATTGATCTCAGCTCAGGTCTGTGCAAGTGAGGTTGTGGCCTGATGTCTGTCCGTCATCTGTCTGTTAAATTTGAGTAATATGTCTCTGAATGATGGGGAGAGTTGTGCATGAAACCTAGGGAGGAAATCAACACTGTAATACTAATCGGTCCCAGATTTATTCAAGGTGAAAAATCAAATTGTTGAAAACTCTTGAAGTATCTTCTCCGAGGAAAACATGATGTTGGAATATGAAAACATTCATTTAATGTGTAGCAACAGATTAAGATATATGTTGCCATGCTAGTATTAATACTATTATAAAACCAGATTATTTCTTATTTCACAAGACACTTTGCAGTTGCCTTCTCTATTTCGATCATACATGTATAAAAAACAACCCCAAACATGCCTCTTTGATATTAGGTAACATCAATCTCATTTTAGGTGAATAAACTTCACACATTTGTGGCTACATTTGTACCTTGATGGCTACTACATTCTAAATTTGCATTACACATGTTTGTAATTTTGTCCATGTGTTGGTGATAGAAAAGTCAAACGATTGTTCTGCCTATTTATCGTATTGTTTCATCAAGTTGTTTGTGATAATAACTGGCTTTAATCATTTTGTCATGTTTACTTTATACTTTTGTATTGACATATAATTATTTCTTATCCGATACAACACATTGCAATTTGCTTCCTCTCTTTGATCACATAACACAGAACCCAAAACATGACTCTTCTACATCCCGGATGCCCATTGCCTTTGGTTGCCAATCAGAGATATCTATCATGAATCCTTTACATTTTTTAACTTACCCTGCACTACTCCTGAATGCATTTACTGCTGTGTTTTGACAAAGACGATCTGTGATAGGTCCAGCTGCTGAAGAAAAGTTGTTCAAACTATTTTACTAGCAGTACCCTCACACAGTCGGCATGTGACCATGAGGCGATGACGTCACATAAGAGCTTATTACTGCTTTGTTTTGGCGCCAGCAGCGCTTACTGGTTACAGAACTTTGCCTGGTCTTCCCATGCAGTTAGCCTACCAATTTTTTAACTTATCCTGCATTACTCCGTATTGCATTTACTGCTGTCTTTGACAGAGACGAACTGTGTGAGATCCAGCTGCTGAAGAAAGTTGTCCCAACCAGCTCAGGAGGCAGCGCCCTCTCACATTCGGCACGTGACCCGGAAGTCATGACGTCACACCAAAACTCATAACTGCTTTGTCACCTCCACGGACGGACGTACTTTGTATCCCTTGTGGAAATTAAAGCTTATTGTTTGTTTTTTATATTTTGCGTGTTTCTACATTCATTATATGCTGCTACATTGTTACCTGTTATGGGCCGTGACCTTAGGGTCTTCCCATTCATAAATTGTAACGTTTATCGCTCGTTTGTGGCTCACGTCACAGTAATTTACGGGTGCAATGTTGTTCCCGCCATTTTGGCCATTCACCACGTGGCCACGTAATTTCGTGTTCTGCGTTTTGAATTCTCTCTTTGGCTTGGGTAATACATTACATTTATGTATGTTGTTTTGGTGTGCTTAAAGCCTTGACTTTTCGCTACGTTTCAGCGTAATTGTTTCTTCTCATTAACTTCAATATAATACGAAGTTTTTGAGTTACATTATGTCTCCCGTACTCTGTGGTTTTGCCACATGGTTACGTGTTTGCTTAAGGCTATGCCTTTTCGCTACCTTATAGCGTCATTGTTTGATCTCATAAACTTCATTGAAATACAAAGTTTCTGAATCACATTATGCTTCCTGCACTTTGTGGCTTTGCCACATAGTTATGTTTTGCTTAAATTCCAGATTTTCTGCCTCGCTGCACTTGTTGCCGCGGGAACAAATCTGGTCGGGGCCGCCCCTTTCTGCCGTGATTGTACGACTCCCTGTACTTTCACAAGGCAGTGCCGATGTTGCAGTCATTCGTCGCTGAGATCCTTCAGCTCATGCGAGTATCCAGGACACACCTCGCTCAACGTGCTCGTCAACCCCCATCTACATTGATAGCAGCAGCGCTCAGCGGAGCTTCGCAGTGCTCCCAATACCACCGGCGGCTCCGGCGCTCTCAACATAGAGTCTGCCTCCCATGACACGACATACGACCGTTCACGGTCTCCTACTCCACCGGCAGCTCCAGCGCTCTCAACGTAGAGTCTGCCTCCCCTGGCACAACATACAACCGTTCACGGTCTCCAACACCACCACATCAACGCTGATGTCTCCGATGTCGTGGCGCTCCCGGCGCCTCTGATGCCTCCTGCGCTCCCGGCGCTCTCGGCGTTCTCGGCGCCTCCGGCCTCTGATGTCCCGGCGCTCCCGGCGCTCCCGGCGCTCCCGGCGCTCTCGGCGCTTCCGGCGCCTCTGATGTCTGGCGCTCCCGGCGCCTCTGATGCCTCCGGCGCCTCCTGCGCTCCCGGCGCTCTCGGCGTTCTCAGCGCCTCCGGCCTCTGATGTCCCGGCGCTCTCGGCGCTTCCGGCGCCTCTGATGTCTGGCGCTCCCGGCGCCTCTGATGTCTCGGCGCCTCCGCATCCTCTGATGTCTTTGGCGCTCCTGGCGCCTCTGAGGTATCCGGCGCCTCTGAGGTCTCTGATCTCAAGATCTTCGATGCCTCTAATGTCTCTGGCGCCTATGACTACTCCTACTCCAGAGTTACGATGCTCCCGGCGCCTCCAGAGTTCTGGCGCCTATGATATATCCGGCGCCTTAGATGTCCTCCGGCGCCCAGATGAACAAGCTTTATTAAGCTCAGATCAACGAGCCGAGTATCCGATCTTCTACTTCGGCTTAAGGGGCACCATCGGCAATCGCCTCCCCGGCACCACTGCCCTCTTCTTCTCTTGCTGCCGTCTCATAACTCGTCACAAGGAGAAGCATGGTGAAACAACTGTCGCCGCTCCTGTCGCTACTCTCCCGTCAGTCTTCAGGACTTCGTGACTATCGTTCTACTTCCTGGGTGGAATCTTTTCAACCAATAGACAGTTGGTCTGATTCAACTTGCCCACTGAGACGTTATCCATAATCCCGTCGTTTAAAGCGCTATGATTCCGGAGTGATGACCTGCGGGTTTCCATCAAAACAGAGCGTCATGTGAACAGCGTCTGTATCAGATTCGACGACGACATCCACTTATAAAGAGTTTACTGCGTCGACATCGCCGACACCAACGCTGTTCTACCCTACCCTAGCGCCAGCATTCCTGAAAGAGACTCTTCCTTGGCGCTCCCCGGATTTTCCACGACGCCCTTTGGGTTCCGTGTTTTATCGCAAAACTCGGGTACACCACTTGTTCGTCTCTCACACAGTTCATTGAGGATTGTCTGTATGTGGAGTTTGCACCTCAGTTCCTACTCCAATGCGGCTTTCTCGGTTACTGCGCAGAGTGATTTACATGTCACGTGTCAAGTACTCGGACTGTCAACAACTCCGACCGGAATTAGGTCAACTTACCATGGCAAGGGGTGCCATGTATTTCTACAGATTGGTTTCTATGTCTACCTGTACGCTTGGTGCAACCACTCAACCAGGCGCCTGCCGCAGTCCATCCATGCATGGATGTTGGAACAAATAGACCTCCTCTACCAACACGGCTGTCACGAGGAACCTTATTTCATCAACCCTTCGCTATAAGAACGATAGCGCCTATAGGCGTTCAGGGGATGGAAAAGATCGCCTTCCTTCGTCCGGTTTGATCTTTTCGACTTCGACACCTTCCTATCTTCTGCCTTGACTACCGGATACAGTGTCGATTTGATACTTAAAGTCCCTCGGCCGTCCCACTGACCCCTGTTGCATACCTGCCTCGTATCGTGTTGTCGTCCTCCATCGTCACCTCGAGATAAGAACAGGAGTACTTATACGCCGCTTCAGGGATGAAAACGATCTCATTACTTCGTGCAATGGACATATTGCCTCGACTTCCTACTACCCGGTTACATCGATGCCCCGGCGGTCAATTGTGAAGCTGGTTTACTTCGTCTACTTGAGTTTGGTTCGCAGGCGATCACACCTTTTTCCGAATCGTACCGACGGTACGCAATCGCAGACCCCTGTTGCTGACTACCTCCCCTGCCACCTTGTCAGTGGCTAGTGGCCCACACCAGCCCACATTGTGACCACCTGTGATCCAGAGATCAACACCATTGGCACAGCAACAGCCTCGAGATAAAGGCTTATCCGGGACGTCACTTGCTGACAGTGCATTCTCGGTCACGCCCTGTTGATCTTGTCCACTGACGACGTCCCCGTAGTGTGGTGTTTGCGGACCCAGAGTACTCGCCCCTCTCCCGGCGCTACAAACTCGACCGGCGCCCCCGAGAATCACCATCTCCGGCGTTCCAGGCGCCTCAAGCTCTCTGACGCCTCTGGCCAGACTATGTCATACGGTCGACACCCCAACCCTAGATCTGTTTGCCTCATATCTAAATGTTGCCAGCTGTCGTCTTCCATTCCACCTGTGCCGGATACGACCGCTGTGGCAGTCTAACCTTCTGCTCCATCCACACGGTCTGTTGCCACACCCTAATACCCGCATGTTCTCGTCTGGACGCCTGACACAACTGCAGAAAGCCAAGGGCTATTCGGCTAGAGCGACCAAGGCTATTGCTTCAGCCCACCGTCCATCTACAGGGGGACTGTATGCTGATAAATGATGCTCGTTCCAGGCATTTTGTTCTGACAAACACCAGGATCCAATGACAGCGTCACCGCAGATCCTGGATCAGTTCCTTCTGTACTTGCGTAGCACCCGTCGGTTGAAGGGCTTACCACCCCAACATACCTGGTCACCATCTACTCCGTTCTGGCCATCCCGGACGATCGGAGAAAGACGAAAATTCCCGACCTATGGGCCTGGCTGCGCTCGTTCAGTCTTGAAGACCTGAAGGCCAAGTTCGGACCGCCTGTGTTGGATCTGAATGTGGTCTTCAACGCCCTTCGAACCACTCCCCTCGTCTTCCTTCTACGACCTTAAGTAGAAGACGGGTGTTTCTACTGGTTTTGACTACTGTCCCTCGAGTCCATGTACAGCACGCCCTCGACGTCTCCCGTGCCCGGTTCGAATGCGGTACCCAGGGAGCCGTTCATCATGGACCGTACTGGGATGTCAACGTAAAGACTCAACTCCCAGGACAGCCTGATAGATCATTCCTTGTCCCCTCCCCCCTCGTCCAGTGTGGGTGCCGAGGATGAGCGTCATTATGCCCAGTAAGGGCACTGAAGGTTATTCTACGATCTAAAGACTGCCGCAAGTCTAGGAAACACCTTTTTCTGCCGGTCTCCCCTTCGTCGCAGTTGTTGGTCAGCCAGAATACTTTTCCCTGTGGCTCCGGGCGGTCATCCTTAAAGCTTATGAAGCCGCCGGATTGGACCCTCCCCCCAAAGGCTATCACCTGAAATAAAACGAGATCAGGGCGATCATATTTACACTGGTTCTTCACGGTATACTGTTCCATCCAGTTGTTCAGGGAAGCCTGTTCGTGGCGATCGGACACCGCCTTCACCAACCACTACTTCCGTGATGTAGCCTTGAAAGTTGTCGCCGGCGTTCACAGTTTTGGTCCCTGGTTGTAGCCCAACAGGTCATCTATCTCCGACGCCACTGATTCTCCGATACCCTGAGCGGGGCCCGTCGACCTCTCTGGTGTTTATCACCCCAGACGAGACGGCCCTCTTGTGTTCCGCATTCGCTCTTAGGTCAGTTTTAGTTTTGGGTTACCCGACTCATTCTATTGCTATCACCTATCCGGGTTTTACTTTTTGCATCAACTCTCGTTTCCTGACGACAGGAATGGAAGTAGATGTGGACACCGGCGCCGACGCCAACGCCGCTGCTTCTCTGATACCTGAGCGGTGCCCGTCGACCTCACCGGTGTTCCTTGCCTCCAGCCTAGAGGGCTCTCCTGCGTTTCGCATTCGCTCTTGGGATTGGTCGTAGGTTTTGCCGCCGACGCCGCTGATTCTTCGATTCCCCGAGCGGGGCCCGTCGAACTCTCTGGTGTTTATCGCCTCAGATTAGAGGGCTCTACTGCGTTTCGCATTCGCTCTTCGGTAAGTTCTATATTTTGGCTACACGCCTCATTGTATTTCGGTTACCTATTCGGGCGTTTCGTTTTTGCATTGACTCTTGTTTCCTGAAGACAGGAATGGTCGTAGATGTTCCGGTCATCACTTGTATGCGGTGCGGATTCATCGGACCTTGACTAGGGTTTATTATGGTTCACATCTGCAGGTATGCCCACCGGCCATGCCGTCTGATAAAGATGCAATAGGGAGTAATGCAGGATAAGTTAAAAAATTTAGTAAAATCTAAATATCTTTTACATTTGTATACTTATTCTGCATTACGAAGTCTAAGTGCCCTCCCTTTCGCTACGCTACCTCCCCACGAAGTTTCAGATGTTATGTTTAAAGCAGTTATGTCTTTTGGTGTGACGTCATGACTTCCGGGTCACGTGCCGACTGTGAGAGGGCGCTGCCTCCTGAGCTGGTTGGGACAACTTTCTTCAGCAGCTGGATCTCACACAGTTCGTCTCTCTGTCAAAAGACAGCAGTAAATGCAATACGGAGTAATGCAGGATAAGTATACAAATGTAAAAAATATTTAGATTTTACTAAACCTCAGCACCTCAGCATGTCCTTCCGCATTCCATCGTGGATGCAGGCCTGGATGCAGTCTTTGTTTCAACAGACATTGGTGCCTCCAGAACACCGCGCCACTCTCTCCACTGGCCACTCAGACACATCCTGCCCCAGCAGCACCAACTGCAAGTTTGGCACTACTCAACCGCGTCATCGGGGCTTCCTTGACCGGCACAACCGAATATGACAGGACTCTCTTCGGCCTAGATCATCTCATGCTTTGTCCTCTCCAACTACATCCCGGCGCAGCTCAGAGTCATCTAGGTCTCGTTGGCGCTCACACAGCCACGCTACCCATCATTCCCGAGGCAAGGGAGTTAATTGATTGTAACAGTCCAGTTTCCACCCTTGCCGAACTCGGCTGGAATCTCTGGGCTTGATTGTAGCACCACCAGTAGCTGTTATGAGTTATGTCCCTTCTATGTCCCTCCTATTGACCAATCAGATTCCACCTCAGATAACGCTTGCAATTGCTTCAAACAAAATGGCATCATCCAGTCAAGGTGATCTGATCAATAACCAAGATCTATATTGTAATAAAACGGGTCTAACTTCGTTAAGTGCATGAAACTAGTTAGCACCTTGATTAAAAACATTAAAAGATTTGAAAAATGTCTGTTGATGCTAAATTTACAGCACACCTGCTTTGCAAATCCTGGAATCAAGCAAAATCTGCACAGCAGTTTATGAACCACTTGTTGATTTAGTTTGATGATTTTGATCGGACTAAGCATAGACTTGATAGTCCAGCCAAAATATAACTCCATAATTCCAGCCTAGTTTGGCAAGAGTGGAGACAGGATTTTTATGGTCAGTGATCGCCCTTTCCTCAGGAAGATGCGCTCAACCATGCGTCGTCGAGATCGTGACTTTCGTTCGGAATCCTCCCGACCCGACTGCGACCCTCCTTCTCCACAGTTCGACACTCGTCTCTGAATCAACTAAGATGCTGACTGGTTTGCAGACTGCTTGCCATCTGTTGCTCCATCTCCAGGCCCCGATGTAGACTAGAAATGCCCGATAAGATTGAACCCGATGTCTCAAGACCCTATGTTGACCGTTCTTACTTAGGCACTGGATGAGGATTTTGCAAAGCTCTCCCTCATGCCATTGTTCAAGGCGCCTTGATACTGGCGGGATGATTTCCCAGTTTACTCCTTTAATGTAGATGATGGAGCTCATGTATTGGAAGTCCAGAAATATCTTCAAAATCCAGACAAGTTCAGAATGCTTCATCTGCCACAGCTAAAGCAGGGAATAAAACACCATGATCATCTAGTAAGCATTGATCTTCAAGGCACTTACCTACATCTCCCCATTCATCCTACCTCAAGGAAACACCTATGTTTCCAGTTTCAAAGACAACATTTCCAGTGGGCAGTCCCGCCCTTTGGAATATCAATGGCCACGTGGTTGTTTACCCAGGTGACCAAACCAATTGTAGCATTCCTACACAACAAGGGGGATCCACTACGCATTCTACTCTGACAACGGGATTCATGCACATGAAGTAGTCAATCTATTCAGATGATAAAAGAAATACACTCTGACATTATTAACTAATCAATTACCAGAAATCAGACCTTCATGACCCCGTCACAAGACCTCATGTTCTTGGTAATTAGATTCATTATTCATTCATTCATTCATTCAGGTAGCAGAAGATCAGTTGACAAAGGTCACTGAGAGTGACAGTGGTGCACTATTTCAACAAGATGGTAGCCAGGTTGATAGTCAGCATGCTCGTGGAGGCCAGGGCTCACCACATCCCAGGCATTACAAATATCTAGCTTCACTTTGTGTGTATAGGTTGATCAGTTGTATGCCAAGGGATATAAGAAATGCATGTCTTTACGACTACAGCATGGTTCTCATTAGATGGTGTATATGAGACCCATAACAGCAGATATTGCATTGGTAATGATGACATGAATGATCCTGAGAGTTCCACAAAAACAGACTACATTTTCACACAGGTTTGACACTGAGAGGGGTGAGAACTACCGTCCACTGTCAAATCTTTCTCATACCAGAACAGCATTCGGGTTTCACCAAATGCAAAAATGACAGCAGATGCAACATGATAAATTGCATGAAATACAGAAGTTACTTCAGGATCAAGTGTTAATCGCCAAGGGTTTGGTCTCCACAGTTACCTCTACAGTGACACTCTATATAATAAGATAGGATCGCTATTGTGTCTTCCGTTTCAAATGTTTATCACATTGAAGCAAGAGAAAGAAAATGAATTTGACAAAGTCAGTCGTATAGCCCGTAACTGTTATTCAGAACCCCATGTGTTAACCTTTTTTGAGGTTGCATGATTAGAAAACATATTCAGACTTTCCCTTTTGCAATCCTTTAAGCAACTCTCTAATTAGGCAGATGAAAGGTCGTTCTGACGTGACCTGTAATGAGATGGGCTCTGTGCTGTGTAATTAAAATGAAGGAAATTGCAATGTGATGTGTCAGGAATAGTACACTAATATCATGAACATCCAGATTCACGTAGTATTTCTTAACTGAGATTGCAAGCTGCAGTGCCATGGCACTAATTTTTTTCAAGTGTCAAGTTGTGTAAGTGTAGCATTGTGATACCTTGATGCTCTATGCTGTTTTAGTGGGTGTTTGGTGTGGACAAAGATGCCATCCCGGTGGTTATCCAGTGTACAGTAGAGGAGGAAGGTGAGTTCCATACCACGTGAAGAAACAATACATTTCAATGTAGACCCCTAAATGATGTGACTGATACTGACCTCGAATATTGTCTCATCATGTGATCAGTATTGACCTGTCACATGATGAATATTGCCTCGTCAGCTAGAAAACAAGATGGCATCTGGTATGCTAACATTTTACAGTTGGCAGCTAAGTTACTGCAAGGAAACAGGATAGTTTAAATGCTTCATAAGCTTTAAAGTGAATTTTGGTGTAACAAAAGGACTGATTAATCTTGAAGAATTCGGTATGTGAAAACAAGAGCCTTTGGATATGCCCCCTTCGGTGGTCTGCCGAAACTTGGCCTACGGTTTCGGTCCGGTCAGATCACCTCAGGGGTTGGGTCCTCGGGTTATTCTTTATGCATATTGACCTCATCAATAGTAATTATTTGTATAGTGACAGCATCTGCTGATGACCTCACGAATCGGATGTATGAGCTTTTGGGTTGAAGTCAAAGACATGCATCATTTTCAACTCTAGAGTGACGCATCCAAACAAGACTAAAAAACCTTTTAAAAGTAGCATTAATCCCACCTCACTGTTTAACTAAACTAAATGTGTGTGTGGGTGTGTTGTTGATAGTGTGTGTCCCTGTGTAACAGAACATGCAGTGTGTGTGTTGTTGATAGTGTGTGTCCCTGTGTAACAGAACATGCAGTGTGTGTGTTGTTGATAGTGTGTGCCCATGTAACAGAACATGCAGTGTGTGTGTTGTTGATGGTGTGTGTGTGTGTTGTTGATAGTGTGTGCCCCTGTGTAACAGAACATGTAGTGTGTGTGTTGTTGATAGTATGTGCCCATGTAACAGAACATGCAGTGTGTGTGTTGTTGATAGTATGTGCCCATGTAACGGAACATGCAGTGTGTTGTTTTGTTGATAGTATGTGTGTGTGTTGTTGATAGTGTGTGCCCCTGTGTAACAGAACATGTAGTGTGTGTGTTGTTGATAGTATGTGCCCATGTAACATTACATGCAGTGTGTGTGTTGTTGATAGTGTGTGCCCCTGTGTAACAGTACATGTAGTGTGTGTGTTGTTGATAGTGTGTGTCCCTGTGTAACAGAACATGTAGTGTGTGTTGTTGATAGTATGTGCCCATGTAACAGAACAAGCAGTGTGTTTGTTTTGTTGATAGTGTGTGCCCCTGTGTAACAGAACATGTAGTGTGTGTTTTGTTGATAGTGTGTGTGTGTGTTGTTGATAGTGTGTGCCCCTGTGTAACAGAACATGTAGTGTGTGTGTTGTTGATAGTGTACGTGTGTGTTGTTGATAGTGTGTGTGTGTGTTGTTGATAGTGTGTGCCCCTGTGTAACAGAACATGTAGTGTGTGTGTTGTTGATAGTGTGTGCCCCTGTGTAACAGAACATGCAGTGTGTGTGTTGTTGATAGTGTGTGTCCCTGTGTAACAGAACATGTAGTGTGTTTGTTGTTGATGGTGTGTGCCCCTGTGTAACAGAACATGTATTGTGTGTGTTGTTGATAGTGTGTGTCCCTGTGTAACAAAACATGCAGTGTGTGTGTTGTTGATAGTGTGTGTCCCTGTGTAACAGAACATGTAGTGTGTGTGTTGTTGATAGTGTGTGCCCCTGTGTAACAGAACATGTAGTGTGTGTGTTGTTGATAGTGTGTGTCCCTGTGTAACAGAACATGCAGTGTGTGTGTTGTTGATAGTTTGTGTGTGTGTTGTTGATAGTGTGTGTGTGTGTTGTTGATAGTGTGTGTGTGTGTTGTTGATAGTGTGTGCCCCTGTGTAACAGAACATGCAGTGTGTGTGATGTTGATAGTGTGTGTGTGTGTTGTTGATAGTGTGTGCCCCTGTGTAACAGAACATGCAGTGTGTGTGTTTTGTTGATAGTGTGTGTGTGTTGTTGATAGTGTGTGTCCCTGTGTAACAGAACATGCAGTGTGTGTGTTGTTGATAGTATGTGCCCATGTAACAGAACATGCAGTGTGTTTGTTGTTGATAGTGTGTGTCCCTGTGTGACAGAACATGCAGTGTGTGTGTTGTTGATAGTGTGTGTCCCTGTGTAACAGAACATGCAGTGTGTGTGTTGTTGATAGTGTGTGTGTGTGTTTGTTGTTGATAGTGTGTGCCCCTGTGTAACAGAACATGTAGTGTGTGTGTTGTTGATAGTGTGTGTGTGTGTTGTTGATAGTGTGTGTCCCTGTGTAACAGAACATGCAGTGTGTGTTGTTGATAGTGTGTGTGTGTGTGTGTTGTTGTTGATAGTGTGTGCCCCTGTGTAACAGAACATGCAGTGTGTGTGTTGTTGATAGTATGTGCCCCTGTGTAACAGAACATGCAGTGTGTGTGTTGTTGATAGTGTGTGCCCCTGTGTAACAGAACATGCAGTGTGTGTGTTGTTGATAGTGTGTGCCCCTGTGTAACAGAACATGCAGTGTGTGTTGTTGATAGTGTGTGTGTGTGTGTGTGTTGTTGATAGTGTGTGTCCCTGTGCAACAGAACATGTAGTGTGTGTGTTGTTGATAGTGTGTGCCCCTGTGTAACAGAACATGCAGTGTGTGTTGTTGATAGTGTGTGTGTGTGTGTGTGTTGTTGATAGTATGTGCCCCTGTGTAACAGAACATGCAGAGTGTGTGTTGTTGATAGTGTGTGCCCCTGTGTAACAGAACATGCAGTGTGTGTTGTTGATAGTGTGTGTGTGTGTGTGTGTTGTTGATAGTGTGTGTCCCTGTGTAACAGAACATGTAGTGTGTGTGTTGTTGATAGTGTGTGCCCCTGTGTAACAGAACATGCAGTGTGTGTTGTTGATAGTGTGTGTGTGTGTGTGTGTGTGTTGTTGATAGTGTGTGGCCCTGTGTAACAGAACCTGCAGTGTGTGTGTTGTTGATAGTGTGTGTCCCTGTGTAACAGAACATGCAGTGTGTGTGTTGTTGATAGTGTGTGTGTGTGTGTGTTGTTGATAGTGTGTGCCCCTGTGTAACAGAACATGCAGTGTGTGTGTTGTTGATAGTGTGTGCCCCTGTGTAACAGTACATGCAGTGTGTTTGTTGTTGATAGTGTGTGTCCCTGTGTAACAGAACATGTAGTGTGTGTGTTGTTGATAGTGTGTGTGTGTGTGTGTTGTTGATAGTGTGTGTCCCTGTGTAACAGAACATGCAGTGTGTGTGTTGTTGATAGTGTGTGTCCCTGTGTAACAGAACATGTAGTGTGTGTGTTGTTGATGGTGTGTGTGTGTGTGTGTTGTTGATAGTGTGTGTCCCTGTGTAACAGAACATGCAGTGTGTGTGTTGTTGATAGTGTGTGTGTGTGTGTGTTGTTGTTGATAGTGTGTGTCCCTGTGTAACAGAACATGCAGTGTGTGTGTTGTTGATAGTGTGTGTGTGTGTGTGTTGTTGATAGTGTGTGTCCCTGTGTAACAGAACATGCAGTGTGTGTGTTGTTGATAGTGTGTGCCCCTGTGTAACAGTACATGCAGTGTGTTTGTTGTTGATAGTGTGTGCCCCTGTGTAACAGAACATGCAGTATGTGTTGTTGATAGTGTGTGTGTGTGTGTGTGTGTGTTGTTGATAGTGTGTGTCCCTGTGTAACAGAACATGCAGTGTGTGTGTTGTTGATAGTGTGTGCCCCTGTGTAACAGTACATGCAGTGTGTTTGTTTGTTGATAGTGTGTGCCCCTGTGTAACAGTACATGCAGTGTGTGTGTTGTTGATAGTGTGTGCCCCTGTGTAACAGTACATGCAGTGTGTTTGTTGTTGATAGTGTGTGTGTGTGTTTGTTGTTGATAGTGTGTGCCCCTGTGTAACAGTAAATGCAGTGTGTTTGTTGTTGATAGTGTGTGTTCCTGTTACAGAGCACATGGGGCACTCCCACATTACTTATGCCATGCTGGAGAAGGGAGGAGAGGGAGGATACAACATCAAGCCTCTCAAGCAGAAACAATTTGTTGATGGACTTTCCTACCTACTTCAGGAAATTTACGGCATTGAGAACAAGAATATGGAGAGGTCCAAAGTAAGTGATGCTGTCTATATATTGGTCACTATATAATGGGTATCTGTTTATAGTGACTCCCAGAGATTGGCAACAAGACATAGGAGATTAAGGTTCAAAGATGGGCACCTTTCCGTCCTATCATTGCTCGGGTGCATCCACTGACGTTCATCTGCACAGAAAAATGATGTCAATCAATCATCCTGTCAACTTAAACAAACTCTTTAATCTTAATTGTTAAGGTCAACTATTATTTATTGATTTACAAGACATGTAAATGTTAAATGTGATGACAGTGTACAAACTTCTGGTGATGACACTGTTTTGGCGTACAGCTATGCTACAGCGTGTATTTGTCAACTGACTGCCTTGGTCTCAGCTGCATGTATTGGGTGAAGTGTATATGTTAAACGTTACGCAGGTGCAGGCCCTCGTGGGACGATTGATCTGGGTCTAATGTAGGACTTTAGTGCTAAGTATTCAGAAAGTGCATCAAGAGAACTGTTTTTTCACTTTGGCTACTTGGGCACCATAGACCTTCACACAGTTTCTGGCCTCGTCTAGCCACAGGCCTTGATGAAGGACTGGTCATACGAGCAGTTACTTCTACCATGGCCCTACATAGCAACTGCCCTCTCTCTCGCTAAGGGTGTTGTTAAGGAAGGAAGGGTTCCCTTTCGGAGGGTGGATTCGCTTGTATGCAGAGACTGAGGTCTTCAACGCTGAAGTTGCCTTAAGATGCATTTAGACTGTGCATTGACACTTTATTCTGCTCACCTCTGCCTTGTGTATTTGTGTTGGGTACTGGCTTGAGGATCCTCGTGTGGATATTGTCATTCGTTCATCTTCTCATCTTGTCATGCTTCGATCCCTCCGGCGTGATTGATAGCTTTTCGTTTACGAATCTAAGCAGTGTTTTAATTGTTTTATTAGTTTCAACTGTTTAGAGTCAGCTTTGTTCAAGCATGTTTCCACATGAGATCGAAGAAGAAAGAAGAGATGCATTGTGTGAGATAGAATAGGTATATAAATATACAATTTATTTATAAAATTTAGAAAAAATTCTCTCTACAATAATGTAATTGTCACTTTAAGGACATGTTTGTTTCAGCTGGATCCTGAAGATGACTTGGAAGACAGTGGGGCAGAATGTGTCATCTGTATGTCCGACATGCGAGACACGTTAATCCTGCCATGCCGACATTTGTGTCTGTGCAGCGCATGTGCTGAGTCCCTGCGCTATCAGGCCAGCATGTGTCCCATCTGTCGAGTGAAGTTTCGGGCCCTGCTGCAGGTACGGGCCATGAGGAAGAAGGCCCCGGTACTTCATCACCAGGTACGGGTATTACAGCTCTCCAATCACCACACCAGATATTTGTTATCAACAAACCTCAAACGTAGAGATAATGTTGTTTGCAAAAATCAGAAATACTCCCAACACAGCTGAGTCTATGTTTGTATTGCAGGGAGAGCCTGACGAGAACCCTGTGAGTCAGGAAGGTGTTCCCCCTGGCTACGAGGCAGTCACCTTGATAGAAGCCTTGAATGGCCAATGTGCTCCCCTGCCAGGAGAAGGTGAGGCAGCTCTCTACATACATCTCTATATACTGCTGCTGCTCACAGGCAGTTTCTGTCATGTTTTTTTCAAATTGTTGACAATAGATGACATCTTTTTGTTTGGCTGTTTATCTTTTTAGCACTTTTATAACCACTAAATGAAAATAAAACATTCCATAATGCTTTGAGAACAGGAGTGGGGAACGTTTGGTTGTATTAGTTTGATACATTGCTGATACATCACTACTTAGTATTGAACATGTTAAGGGTCTATAAGAAAGTAGGTTGTATTAAGTATCTGGAAGAAACATGGATGGGCCATGAGAATTAATGACTATATTTATTCTGACATGTACTCAGGAAGGAATAAAGTATACATATTAAGCAAGATGGTGTCCATTTAAGTCCCAACGGTGTGTGTCTGTCTGTCTGTGTTTCAGTCTGTGTGTGTGTGTCTATTTGCATGTGTCTGTCTGTGCATGTCTATGTGTGTCTGTGTCAATCTGTATGTGTGTCTCTGTTTGTGTCTGTCCGTCTCTGTCTGTGTCTTGCTGAGTGTGTCTGTTTGTCTGTGTCTCTGTGTATATGTGGGGGGCATGAGTGGGCCAGTTGTCTAAGGCGCAGCGATTCACTATGCAGAGTTGCAACCCTTGAGCACACCAGAAACCTGTGATTGTGGTTTGAATCCCGATTCGTCCCGATTATGTGTCTAGGTTTGTCAGCACCATACCCGTGCTCATGGGTTTCACCGAAGTGGTAAACATCTGAAACCTGCATCACATTGGGCTTTCCTCCCACATTAAACTGACACGCAGTGATATATCTGGAATACTGTTAAAAGCAGCGTTAAACCAAACTCACTCACTGTGTATGTGTGTCTCTATCTGTGTGTCTCTGTATGTGTGCGTGCGTGCATGCGTGTGTGTGTGCGTGTGTGTGCGTATATATCTGTGTGTAGCTATTGATGTAAGGGAGGTAACTCTCATTCCGGAAGCTCTGGTGTTGTTATGGTAGCACATGAATTGTATCAGTGAGGTGACAGTTGTAAGTAGGGAATGTTACCTTGATTGTGTTGTGTGTTGTCATAGTGTTTTTGGAATGATTGTGTGTGTGTGTGTGGAGATGATCGTTTGTCAGTTGTAAAATGAAATTCTAACAAATAACAATGTTTACCTGAAGCAGCAAGTTCTGTTGTCTATCACTATCTTTAGTAATGGTGGTGCTTCTGTTGGACAGGAGGCCCCCCTCTCCACATGGTGCCCCCAGTGAACACAGTTTATACCATGGACAGCTCCAAGAAGATTCAGAAGGGGTCACAGTGAGTACACAGCAAGGCTGTCTCCGTCCCTCCTCACCTTTAGTCATCCTTTGCATATCCACCCATTCCCAAGGTCTCAACTGTTCATGACAGTATCTTTGTCACGAGGGTAAACTGTTTCACTGATCAGGATCATGTCATGATCATTTCCTGGAAACTGTCAACACAATGTTTCTAAGAACTCTTAATGGTAATAGACTGGTTTCATGTTTGTTATGTAGAGGCAATATCAGGTGCATATTTAGCATGAAAGAATACAATTCCATCGTAACAGTATGACTAGCATTTTCTGAATAGATTTTCTGATTCATTGTGCACATTGTGTGTTGAGGAGAAACTGCTCAAATTAGCTTAGTGCCTAATTCCTGCGAATACTAAACCTGTATTACATTAATCCTGCATATTACAGCCATGAAAAGACTCCAAGGGAGGTTACTATCATATAGGTGATTAAATAAGTTTTCTGAAAAGGCCCGCCATCAAAGGCTTCAACGCATGTGTTATACACACGAAGCTTTGAAAACGGAGCTATTTCCTCATGTTACTGAGCGGGCAGCCACTGTTATCGGGAAATGGATGATGACAGCTAATATTTAAAATCCTTCTTAATATAATTTTCTGATTATGGAAACAATGGAAAGAAAAAAGAAAAAGGTAAGTGGATATTAAGAAATCGTCACATTTTTGCTTCCTTGATCCTTAATCTGGATGTTATGAATTTGTTAGCTTACATTTTTACCCCCACCCCAACAAATTTGGTGGTTGGTTTGAAATTGGTGCCGTCCGTGCGTGTGTGTGTGCATCCCGAAATTGTTCCCGGAGCATAACTCAGATACCGTTAAATATTTTTCTACGAAACTTTGCATGTCTACCAGGCACATACTGAACTGTTGCCTTTTGCTATTTAGGAATTTTATAATTTTATATTTTTTATGTTTCCATCGCAACAAGTTGGATTTAAGTTTTAATATAGGGTGGGTTCACTTATGGAGTATAACAAATAAACTATTAAATATTTCCTTGCTAAACATTGCATGTCTACATATAAAGCACATACTGAACTGGTGCCATTTGATATTAAGGAGTTTTAGAAATGTTTATTTTAGAATTTCCATTGAAGCTATTTTGACATGGGCTAAGAGAAATGTTTGGTTAAATGGTTTTTGACCATAACGTGTTAAAATGGGTGGGGGATATAGATGACTTCGTTGACTATACGCTTGTTTTGTTTCAAACGCACTTAATTAAGTCGTAAATGCATTATTTAAATAATGTAATTAACTTCAATTTCATATGTATGAACAGTAGGATCAGACCTTTCAAATGGGGTATAACATGTAGTAGCTAAGATGTTTTACAAGCAGATAATTTGCTTGATAAATGTTGGCTTCATCTATCACACAAGGGTCTGGGAACTGTCACCCACTTGTGAGGAGGTTTATCCCTTCAGGGAAGGAATCCTTTCAGGCGCCAAGATGTAGGGGCAGAAATTGCTTTGCTTATGGATTTAGATTCTTGACAACCTAGTATGTTAAGCATTTGATCATTATTGTCTTCTTGGAGTAGGGCAGATCATAGGTTAACATTTGGAATCACATTAGAAGATCCATCAAAAGGGACGTCATAACCTGAGCTGATGTCACTAGAATGATGTTGTAGAAACCGGAGGAATCTTATAGACACCAGAAATGATTTAATTATGGTCGGAAATGACTTCATCAGAACCAGGATTGACTTCATCAGATCCGTATGTGACATCATTTTAAAGGGGCACTGATCTAACGCAATTCCCCGGGACTGGTTATTGCCTTTGTTATTGTTTTTTCCCAGTGAGTACCCGGATGTATAGCAGAAATCTAGACTAGTTCGCGACCTCTGCTGCGCAATTCGCAACCGCATCAGTCACTTTTATGGGTAGTAATAAGGGCGTATGGTCACATTGATCAACAAAATGAAATACAGTTTTCGAGATAATAAGGAAATAAAGGTATCTTTGTGGGTAGCATCGATAATGGTGACGAAGTTTTGATAAGTCACTTGCTTGGTAATTTTGCGATTTTCGTTTACACTATTTTGACTTGCAACACAAAGTAAATATTTCACCTGAGCATTGCTTTTTAATAGCGTGTAAGTTTTTTACTGTCAAAATGTGTAACATTTTCAAATTTATTAAAAATCTAAATATTCAGTTATTTTACACAGAGGCTGAAAAACATTTCCATCTGTATTATTATGATAACGAATTCCAAACATTTTGATGTTTAATGTCATCACCAAGAGACTGCAAATGTTACGTTGAAAAGTACATGTCTGTGTTGTTTGGCTTCTAATCCTACATAATAATCTGTTGTGATGTTTGTAAGCCCTTTTGATCATCTTAATCAATCTGGACAGATTTTTTAGTCAAAATGACTGAAATATTTACACATTTTATAAATTGCCTGAGAGAATCACATTTTACAAATTGACGGTAATATATACACGCTTACAAAGGAAAAGATCTGTGAAAACAGCGTCTATCGCGCATTGAAGAATTTCCCAACCAAGACGTAGAGAAACGAGAATGAATCGGTTCAAATGAAGGAAAACAAAATGCAAATACCATAATTGCAACCTACCCAATTTATGTGTATAAATTTTGGGAGCTTCCATGTTCGAGGAATGTATCCGTGAATATCCACACAAAGGGACAATATCCCACTCGTCTGCAGCTGTACAAAGAAACTTATTCGATGTCACGTGTCTCTGTAACAATCAATTACTTTAAAAGATATATATCGTTTCGGGATATTATAACCTGTGTTCGTTTCTCAACTGATCACTTGATTGTTTCAGGTGTTTCACATTGGTGTCAAATCTCAAGGGTCGGCTGAGGAAGCCCACGTGACAACTATTTTCATAACGTGCACGGTTCCTAAAAAATCCATTGAGTGATAGATAACAATGATCAATCAATCAACGTATTATCAGTTAACCCTTTGAACAAAGTATGTTGTTTTTACATCGGCACTTCACGCCAGGATATGAGTGTATTCCCTTTGTTTTAGTAAACCTAGACATGTAAACACTCACTCTTGACATATCCACTGTGCAAGATAACAGTGATTAATCAATCAACGTATTTTATTAATCCTTTGATGACTAGGAACGATCTGTTGATTTACAAAAAAAAGTAAATCAACTGATCATTCACCTCTTGCTGGGCTGCACGTGCATATTACATAACACACATTTCACCTCACTTCAAACCTGGATCTAGATTGAATAATTACCCCAGACATAATAAATGCCAAATGGGAACCTTTGTCAGGTCATCTAAGTGGTGCTACCACTAATTGTACCTGTAATAAATTCATTAACTGAGCATCAAGTGAATGACGACAAATACACAAGTGTAGGGTTATACGAGAAAACGTGGATGACAACAAGGGAGTAGTAATCGTATTATCGACGCAATCCAAAATCCAAAAATGCTTTCACTGCATGCCGAGGCGGATACAGCTTTTTTGAAAAGGGGGGGTGCACAACTAAGCTCTATTTATAGTCTTTGTGGTAATTTATACAGTAATAAAGATTTTTTTCGAAATAAAAAGTGTGGGGGGGTGGGTGGTTGCATTTTTTAGTATTAAACTATAACCATCTGGGGTATTTCCAAATGACGACATACGATGAGCGCTGCCGTTCTTTTTGTCTGTTTGTTTAGGCTGAAGAAATTAATTAACATGTGCCCTTTGTCGAAATCTTTCACAGTTAACCATTCAGTGTTTATGCAAAAATTCGTAAAACAAATATTGCCTCCAGCCTCCAAGTTTATTTAGCTGTCCTTGCAGACGGTAGCCCAGTCTCTGGTCACGCTCAGTTGCGTTGCGTATCATCCGGGTACTCACGGGGGAAAAAACAATAACAAAGGCAACAACCAGTCCGGGGAATTGCGTTAGATCAGTGCCCCTTTAAGGCAAATATAACGGTCATTCAGTGGAATTTATCAGGTATTTGCTCTGATTTATGTCATGTTCTGATTAGACTTTCAAGGTGATTCCAGGTTTAGGGTATGGGTATGGGTCCACTGCTGGATGGAAAACTACTGTCAGTTGTCCTAAGTATGTCCAGATGCAAGGGCGGATTGAGCATTTTCAAAAGGGAGGGTCCAAAATATCAAAATTCTTTCTGAGATAATTTAACTGCCTACAACATTCTTCATTTGGTTTTCAAAGGGGGTGGGAGCTCTGGATCCCCTGGACCTGCCCTCTTGATCCGCCTATGAGGTGTCAGAACCCACCAATCCCTCTGGCTATTAAGCTAATGATGTAATAGAGGTATGGTATTCACAGGAATGATCAAACAATACTCATCATTATTAATAATTCTTAGAGTACTACCTCCATTACATCAGGAGTAATCCCACCCAACTCCCATAATTTGTATCAAGATAGATGTTTGATAGTTGGAAAGCAGTAAAGTTTTCACGCCCTGTGCATGTGCAGAAGCACTCGCTAGAGGAAAACTATTATCCACACAAGGTTAGGTTCAGCTGATGACAAAGAGGACTTCTGTTGAGTATTTTTTGTCATCAGGCTGAAGCTTACATTGATATTGTTGGTTATAAAACTGGTTCATGTTTTGTCATAAGATTATAGTATTGTTTGTTATCAGACTGGATCAGTGTCATGAGGCTGCAGCAAACATTGTCATATGTCTGATAATTGTCACAGCTGGGTCATTATTTGTCATATGGCTGGATCATTGTTTGTCATACAGCTGGATCATTGTTTGTCATATGGCTGGATCATTGTTTGTCATATGGCTGGATCATTGTCATATGACTTGATCATTGTTTGTCATATGGCTGGATCATTGTTTGTCATATGACTGGATCAGTGTTTGCCATACAGCTCGATCATTACTTGTCATACAGCTTGCTCATTGTCATACAGCTTGCTCATTGTTTGTCATATGGCTGGATCATTGTTTGTCATACAGCTTGATCATTGTTTGTCATACAGCTGGGTCATTATTTGTCATATGGCTGGATCATTGTTTGTCATACAGCTGGATCATTGTTTGTCATATGGCTGGATCATTGTTTGTCATATGACTGGATCATTGTTTGTCATACAGCTGGATCATTGTTTGTCATATGGCTGGATCATTGTTTGTCATATGGCTGGATCATTGTTTGTCATATGGCTGGATCATTGTTTGTCATAGAGCTGGATCATTGTTTGTCATACAGCTTGCTCATTGTCATACAGCTTGCTCATTATTAAAATTTTGTCATACAGCTTGATCATTGTTTGTCATACGACTGGATCATTGTTTGTCATATGGCTGGATCATTGTTTGTCATATGGCTGGATCATTGTTTGTCATATGGCTGGATCATTGTTTGTCATACGACTGGATCATTGTTTGTCATACGACTGGATCATTGTTGGTCATACGACTGGATCTTTGTTTGTCATACAGCTGAATCATTGTTTGTCATACGACTGGATCATTATCATACAGCTGGATCATTGTTTGTCATAAGTCTGAATCATTGATTTCATCCAACTCGATCATTGTTTGTCATACAGCTGGATCATTGTTTGTCATACAGCTGGATCATTATTTGTCATACAACTGGATCATTGTTTGTCATACAGCTGGATCATTGTTTGTTATACAGCTGGATCATTGTCATTAGGCTGGATCATTGTCATACAGCTAGATCATTGTCTGTCATATGTCTGGATCATTGTTTGTCATACAGCTGGATCATTGTTTGTCATACAGCTGGATAATGTTTGTCATACGACTGGATCATTGTTTGTCATACAGCTGGATCATTGTTTGTTATAATGCTGAATCATTGTTTGTCATACAGCTGAGTCATTGTTTGTCATACAGCTGGGTCATTGTTTGTCATACAGCTGGGTCATTGTTTGTCATACAGCTGGATCATTGTTTGTCATAAGGCTGGATCATTGTTTGTCATTAGGCTGGATCATTGTCATACAGCTGGATCTTTTGTCATACAGTTGGATCATTACTTGTCATACGGCTGGATCATTGTTTGTCATAAGGCTGGATCATTGTTTGTCATTAGGCTGGATCATTGTCATACAGCTGGATCGTTGTTTGTCATACGACTGGATCATTACTTGTCATACGGCTGGATCATTGTTTGTCATACAGCTGGATCATTGTTTGTCATAAGGTAGGATCATTGTCATTAGGCTAGATCATTGTCATACAGATGGATAATTGTTTGTCATCCGACTGCATAATTGTTTGTCATATGACTGGATCATTGTTTGTCATACAGCTTGATCATTCTTTGTCATACAGCTGGATCATTATTTGGCATACAGCTGGGCCATTGTTTGTCATAAAACTGAATCATTGTTTGTCATACAGCTTGATCATTGTTTGTCATACAGCTGGATCATTGTTTGTCATATGGCTGGATCATTGTTTGTCATATGGCTGGATCATTGTTTCATACCACTGCATCATTTTTTAGTCAAACAGCTGGATCATTGTTTGTCATATGGCTGGATCATTGTTTGCCACAAGGCTGGATCATTGTCATACAGCTGGATCATTGTTTGTCATACAGCTTGATCATTGTTTTCATCCAGCTGGGTCATTGTTTGTCATATAGCTGGATCATTGTTTCATACCACTGCATCATTTTTTAGTCAAACAGCTGGATCATTGTTTGTCATACAGCTGGATCATTGTTTGTCATACAGCTGGATGATTGTTTGTCATACAGCTGGATCATTGTTTGTCATACAGCTTGATCATCGTATGCATACAGCTGAATCCTTGTCTGTCATACAGCTGGATCATTGTCATACAGCTGGATCATTCTTTGTCCTACAACTTGATCATTTTTTGTCATACAGCTGGATCATTGTTTGACATAAGGGTGGAACATTGTCATACAGCTGGATCATTCTCATACAGCTGGATCAGTGTTTGTCGTATTATCTGGATCATTGTTTGTCATACAGCTGGATCATTGTATGGACGTCTGTTTGTTGTACAGCTGGGTCTTTGTTTTTTATAGGCCTGGATCATTAGTAGTCATACAGCTGGGTCATTGTTTCTTATAGGCCTGGATCATTGGTTCTTATAGGCCTGGATCATTGGTTGTCATACAGCTGGGTCATTGTTTCTTATAAGCCTGGATCATTGGTTCTTATAGGCCTGGATCATTGGTTGTCATACAGCTGGGTCATTGTTTCTTATAAGCCTGGATCATTGGTTCTTATAGGCCTGGATCATTGGTTCTTATAGGCCTGGATCATTGGTTCTTATAGGCCTGGATCATTGTTTCTTATAGGCCTGGAACATTGGTTATCATACAGCTGGCTCATTGACTCTTATAGGCCTGGATTATTGGTACTTATAGGCCTGGATCATTGGTTGTCATACAGCTGGGTCATTATTTCTTATAGGCCTGGATCATTGGTTCTTATAGGCCTGGATCGTTGGTTGTCATACAGCTGGGTCATTGTTTCTTATAGGCCTGGCTCATTGGTTATTATACAGCTGGCTCATTGACTCTTATAGGCCTGGATTATTGGTTGTCATTGTGCTGCAGCATTGTTTTGGACAAGATTATATGATTGTGTCTTTTGCTACAGAATCACAGAAATGACCCCAATTGAGTATCAGAAAGAGATGGACCCTGACAAGGAGGTAGGGGACATCAATGAGAAGCAGCCTCCGGCCAAAAAGGAGGAGGAGGAGGAAGAGGGTCAGAAGGGGAGGGTCACTCCAGAGGTTGTTATGTCTGACAACAACCTGGAGACAGACAAGAAGAGAGGATCTCCCAAGAAACCCCCACTACCTGATGTTAGGTACGTTCAACTGGATGTTTACCAGTTGTAGTTGAAGTGGGGTGTTACTGTATTCTTGATTTGTTGTTGAGAGATTTAGGTAGGGATGGGGGTCATATATGTGCTGCATGGTTAGATCGCAAAAGGGTGATCACATTTTAGTAATATGAGTATGTGGACAATCATTGTCTTACAGTAAAACATGTAAGTTTATGTCTGAGGTGTTGTGATAATCCGTCATTGCTTTTCTAACAAATTACAGGAATTTGATTTTACATGGAGGAACATAGTACAATTACTGATGTGTTAACACTATTATGAGTGTAAGTTTCTGATGTTCAACCCAGCAACACTGCAGGTGGAGAGAACACATGGTTTAACACCTGCTTGACATCATACAAATAAATGTTACAGTGTTCTTTTTGATTAGTGAGAGGGGGTTTGCTGCAGTAATCTGTACAACACTGTTGTTTATGGCTATCAGCTCCATGTCCCTCATTAAAAGGTAAAGTCCGCCCCTTTTGTAGCTAGTTGTGTTGCTTTAGATACTACCCCTCCAACAAGAGATTGGACAACCAGGTGAAGGAGCCAGCCTATCCACGGGAGATGGTCGCAGGTGACAAACAGGCCAGAAAGGTAGCTATTTTATCAACATGGAGATGTCGAGGTGTTTACATGTCTGTTTCCTATTTTGTTGGTGGATAAACATAGAAAATTTGAGTTTAGGTGAGGTACAAGGGATTGCTGAAACGTTCTGAGCCTAACTACGAAGGATGTATGGTACATCAATAACAATTTGCATGATTTGAGTACAGTACTTTCCATGCTTATAGGCAACTTATGACAAATACACAACCAGTGAAAATGTTTCTGCAGGCACCAAAGTGACTGATTCTCCTTCCTTTGCCACTTTTAAGAGGTGGGCAACAGACTTCAAGTGGAATAGAGAGCCTTGAAGACAATCCAAAATTCGGAAGGCAATTAACTCAGGAAAATGTTGATAAAATACATGATATCATTATGGACGAATGAGTCTCCACATGTAACACAGTAGGAGAGTTGAGAACACTCATGAGGAATGAACTGGGTATGACAAAGGTTTGAGCACTTCCGTTCCAAGGCCTCTGACCCCAGATCAGAAACACTCAGGTTCATCTTCTCTCATGAGAAATTATGTCGATTTCAAGCAGACCCAACTGATTTTGTTGAGCATTTTGTAACCATGGATGAGTCTTGGGTTCCCCACTAACAGCCAGATACTACACAACAGTCAAAGTGGTGGAACATCTCCAACGAAGAAGGCAAAGTATGTTCCATTTGGTTCCACTCGGTTATCTGGGATTTCAAAGTAATCCTATTGATGGTCTACCTACCAAAACGTCAGACCATTATTGACCCAAATGATGCTAATCTGCTTAGGCAGCTGTGTGAGAATATCAAGGCTTGACTGTGGCTTTGAACTGATTGAACATCTGTTGTGACCAGATATTGCACTGTCATACTGCACCTTGTCACAAAGTTCAAGAAGGAACTGTCTGGCAAGCATCATACAATGATGATGTAATTTCTGCTTTGGATGACTCTTTACATCACCTGGCATTTCAGTATTGCTAGCAGAAGTGTGTGGACTATGGAGTGTATGTCCATCAATGCAGTCCATCATAGTTAGACTCAGAACTTTTCAGCCACCCCTCATAATGATGCCTGAACCATAATCTAGCTGTTTAGCAGAAACGAAATCACTGATGATACTGGATGGATGATGAGTGAAATGTTGTGGTATGACAAAGGGACTTTCAGTAACCCTGATAGAAATTGAACATCTGACACAAGGAAAGGAATAAGGATAGCATACCTGGTCTGTTCCAGAAGCAGATGAACATACTTTTAACACATGTTACGACATAGTATTTCCAAGCTGTGTTGACAAATCAGAAATTTACTTCGTAAATAGTCTCATTTATTGTCTCAATATTTAATCAAATGTCTTGGTTAGTGAGGAAAAAATATGTAGTGGTAAGGAGGATATGTCTATTCATCGGTGTATGTGCACTACAATGGCCTTGGTATGCTGACCTTTTTCCACCCATCTGCACCTTTGCTGTACCTGTATCATACAGTAGGTTGTGGCTCAAAGTCTGAGACACAGGATTGTAGTGGAACATTTTTGTGTCAATTGTGCTATTATATTTATTTTCTGCAGTACTAGGGGATACAGATTATTATGATTGTACTATTATGAGACTGTTGATACCTGTATGTGCCCTGCCCCCCAGTCACCACCATCATACGAGGAGTGTAGGTTGGAGAGTGAGAAGAAGGTGCAGACGGCAGCCCTGTACAAGCTGTCCACCCTGGAGTGTGAGGGTGGAAAGCTGGCCAGTGGAATCTCCACTGGCCATATTGCGGATGATGAACAGGAGGACACTTCTGAAGGCGAGCCCGAGCCTGACTATGAGGAGGAGGAGCTGGAGGAAGATGAGGAGGATGAGGAAGATGAGGATGATGATGAGGATACCACGACGGGGGGTAGGTGATACTAGGTGATAGCACAATAGAGGGGTAGGTGATACTAGGTGATAGCACAATAGAGGGGTAGGTGATACTAGGAGAGACAAATGGAGGGGTAGGTGATACTAGGTGATAGCACAATAGAGGGGTAGGTGATAGCACAATAGAGGGGTAGGTGATACTAGGTGATGGCACAATAGAGGGGTAGGTGATACTAGGAGAGACAAATGGAGGGGTAGGTGTTACCTAGAGATTATTATATGGCAGTTTTCATATCTACCCAAGGTCTGTATGAAAACTGACATATAATAACCTTTTTATCATGTACCATAACATCAAATTGTAAAATGTTTGTATTCGCAAGTTAATGCAATACATTTTCTCCTTGTTTGGAAGATATTCTCAAGGGAATCTAGACGAGCAGATGATGCACAAACGAACTTACTCCAATTTCTTACCACCTGGGCTGATATTGATAGCTCATTTAAAATAGATTGACATAATAGCCTGGCAGGGAGTGCAATACTGGTCTGGTTATTACACCACTTGTGATATGACTGTCTCTATGTTGACTCATGCACATGCAAAATGCCTAATATCATTCATAGGTATATGGTAATGGGTGATAAAACAATAGAGGGGTAGGTGATACTAGGTGATACCACAGAGGGGGGTAGGTGATACTGTGATGGGCAGCAGTAAATACCACAACTGGGGTAGTTTAGACCATGATGGGGGAAGTTGATACCATTATGGGGTTAGTCGGTACCACAGCTGGAGTAGTCGATACCACCACTAGGGTAGTTGAGAGCATGATGACAGGTATAGTTCACATAACTTGGCTTTATTTTAGAATATATGTGTATTTAGATACCTCTGTCAAAACAAGGAGGATAGATGATATAGTCACCTTCTCTGAAGGTTGTTGCTTTAAAATGCTGACACTTGAGTGGCTCGCCAACAAGGATGTCAAGTTAAATGTTTTCTATGGAAGTTGATGTTTACCATGCTTTTATGCATTAGAGTAGACATGAGGTTTCAGCTATACTCTACAATGTTACAATTTAAAGTTGTCTTTCTTCTGCTTGGTACAGAGTGTATGACAGAAAGTGAGGAGAGTGAGATCAGGGGGGTGAGCCTGTTCCACCCAGCTGGGTCCCTGGAGGAGTCCGAATACCAAGCCATGCAGCCCGTCGACCAGCTGGCCACACATGGGGGAGGGGGAGGCAGCAGTGGCACTGAAGGCTCCAGCTATGGCAGCAACAGCAGCTCCCAGGCCCTTCTGACTAATGTGGGCGCAACTGAGGAGGACAAAACCTCTGTGTAGAGGACTCACAACAGGATCTGCAACAATGCACCCAAAAACTTAGCCCTGTCCTACTGTACTCATTATATTTACTCAGCAATTATGTTAAGGTTTAAAAAGCATGAACAGGGAAACGGACATCAATTCTGTATTAATATCTATCTGTATAAAACTACATGTTAAAATTGATACAAATAATAAGTAAAATGTCTTCTTCTTTTTTTAACTCAAATTTTCTTTCAAAGACTACATATTGTTTATTAAAATGAACATTCTAGACTATTATCATATTATTGCATTAGATTATTTCTGTTTCCAATATTAATTGCTAAATGTGATTAAAATGAATTCCCCTCACCAGCAATGTTTCCTGCCAAAATATTTGTGAACAAATAATGATAAATGTTAATCTTATTGTAAATAGTGATGTACAACAATTATATTAATTTCTGTCTCTGATTGAAATATCACAAGATTCTCCTTGTATGTCAGAATCTTGTCGTTTTGTGCAACATAACCAGAGGCCTGAGGGCAGTGGTGTAGTTAGACATTGTCTCCAGCAGCAGTTGCCAGGGCAATGCGATCTTCAATGTATATTCAAATATGTCCAAGCTACAAAATTAGCAACGATTGTTTCTGATTTATTATCTTATTTGCAGATAAGATGTGGGCAGCTTGTGAGTAAGGGGGGTTTTACATTGCTAGGGGGTTGGGAGGGAGGTTAGAATTTCATTTTGTGTCTATAAGCAGAAGGTATGCTTTCAATACAGATGTTTTTTCATTTTGCACAGGAACCAAGAATTGTGTTTCTTAAGGTTTTCTTCCAACCTTTTTAGTCCATGACAATGCTACATTCTGCAATGTGCCTCACTTCTGGAGTGATTGTTGTTCATTCCTCATTACATATTGCCAGAGCATTGTGGTTGCAAGGTTGCAAGCTGGCCACTCAAATAGTATCCTGTGTTGTATATCCAAGCAGAAGCTGTATATACTTAAGGTTGTAGGAGCCATACCAAACAGTGATGTTTCAGTGATGATATGTAAATGTACTTGGTGCTGTAGTTGATGTGAACACCGCAAACATGAATTGCTGTACAACTCACACTCTATGTAGCTGAGAAATTGCTGAGGCAGCTCTAATTGACTATAATTTACTCCCTCAAACATGTTTGTTGGAGAGAAATATACCATGTGTAATACATGAATCACATTCAGTTGAGGGTTGTCCCATACCAATGTCACTTATTGATGTACCAGTGTTCTTTGTGTTCATGAAAACTTGTAAAAAGTGTTCCTCTAAAATGTCCTGCATAGAATCTGTCCTCAGATCACATTTGATTTTTTTTTAAAGTGCTGATGAAATGAGTTTTTACTGTTTTAGTTTTTATATCATCAAACATTATTGAAACCCAAGGTCAGGTCTTAATGAATACTCAAGTTAAATGTCCAACATTAGCCATGATATGAGGGTTGATTGATAAATTGAGATACTCAAAACATAGACATAATGTAATTTTCAAGATAATCATTTCACATCACCACCACCAATTAGCAAAGACTGGCCCAGGACAATTTGCCAGTGCACTAATCAGTGTGGCTTTGAACTCCTTCAGCTCCCACTTCATCCTCCTTAACTGGCTCTGTCAGACTTCCATGAAGAAAGCTCTAGCTGAAACCCATTTCGACTCCAACGATGACGTCATTGCGGCTGCGAAGAACTTTTTGGGACAGCAAAGATAAGGACTTTAACGGGGATATGATCCCTCCAACACCGTTAGCAAAAGTGTGTCAATGTGGAAGGGGATTCCACTGTTTTGATTGTTGTTTGGAAGTGTTGAAAACATCTTTTATCAATAAGTCAAAAATGATTGCAAGAACCTGTCTGGATCAGCATGAAACAGGTCTAGATTATCACATGTTGTGCCTGGTGCATTTTTGTTAGATGTCAGAAGTGCTGGAACCCAATGACCTGATTTTGAAAGTTTCTGTGATAAAAGAATGTACTCCCTCTTGAGAAATGCTTGTCTCCTGTCATTCGTTAGTCACCATATTATGGATTCTTTGGATCATGTCTGGTGTTGCTGACGTCACAGGCCTTTCAGGATGTGTATCGTTCTCAACGGTCTCCCTGCAATGCTTGAACTGTGCTGCCCACCTCTTTACAGTGGCATAGGAAGAGGCATCCTTCCCTTGTGTATTACTCACATCTTTGTTGATGCCTTCTCGTGTCAAGACCCTTTTCTTCAAGAACTTACTCAAGTTTGTCCACAGATCCCTGCTTATTTAATTGACTTGTCACAGCATTTGTTTGTTTATTTGTTACAGCAATATGGCGGTGGTCTGGATATAATTAAGTCTGGACCAGACAATCCAGTGATTGACATAATGAGCATCGATCCACACAATTGGGATACAATGACATGCATCAACCAAGTCAGGGAGCCTGACCACCTGATCCTGTAAGTTGCTTTTTACGACAAGCATGGGTTGCTGAAGACACTTGTCACAGCGCAACAATTCGGTGTGACTCAAGTTTATGTGGATATGCCTCTATGACATCATCTACTGTCCACCACACACAATTTCACTATTATGCAATTTCTTCTGAAGGAGGTTCAGAACTTATCAATCAACCCTGTGGGGGGGCGGTCAGGTAGCCTAGTGGTTAAAGCGCTTGTCACGCCGAAGACCCGGGTTCAATTCCCGACATGGGTACAATGTGTGAAGCCCATTTCTGGTGTCCCCCACTGTGATATTGCTGGAATATTGCTACAAACGGCGTAAAGTCATACTCACTTACTCAACCCTTTGGTTTTTGCTCGGTTGCTAATTAACTGATAAATATGTTTAAATATTATCTGAAACAAATGCCCATGGTTTAAGAAAAAGCTGTTTCATTGTGTAGGAACATAAATGTGTCTTCTTTTCCGATATGGGGAAATAGAGTTCTTAAATGACGTGTGACACTTTCATCTTTCAGTTTGCCCTCTTTGGACATAGCACAGTGACATAACCCCTTCAGGCAAGGGTTGATGTCTATCATGTGCATAGTTTTATGAAACACAATGTATTGTCACATCCAATATTTTGTACTTTAGTCACATATGGTTGCCTTTTCTGGGTACCGACATTAATCAGAATCTCCCATGTCTATCAATCAACTTGTAAATGTGTACATATTAATGCATGTGACATGCAGCGTCACTGAATGTGTAATTATGAAAATTGCATTATGACATAGCAAGATGAATGTTAAATGATGAGCATTAGTGCATGTATGTGATATTGTGAAATGGTGATCTGTACCATTTAAAGGTAACAAGCACAAATAAATGATTAAGGAGAACATGTTTTCGTGTACTTGTTTCTGTGACGAGATGGGATGGTCGTTGCTAGATGGTGGTGATGCAGCAAGCTAGCAAACCCACAGCATTATAGGTGAAGCACTCATAAAAGGTTGGGCACCGTGTGCAGAGTTATGATACTGATACCTATGACATGCTACATTTGAGACATCAGTGATATTACTGATATAACATGTGATCTAATTTCAATGACATCAATAGCATGAATTCCAAGTCGAAGATCAGGTCAGCTGACAAAGATTGCAGATGTGCAAAGTTTTGTTAAACAAGCACAACCTTTAGAACAATAATAAGCACTGTTATGTATTCATTAAGCATATCTGCTGTTATTGAACTGGACCTGGTTGTGTCAAACTTTCATGAACAAATGGGTACAATAAAACCCTAAATGTTCATTAAATTCATCAGTTTATTGCAGCATTAAAATCTGTTCTGAACTGTCATTAAACTAACCTTACCTGGAGGTTTGGATGAAGACTACAATGTTTTTTGATGGACTGCTGAATTTCAACAATGTATTTGTCAGGCAAATTTGGTTTAATAACAGGTTAATGAAGTTAATAGCTTGCTGATATGAGGATGGTGTCAATAAAGCTTTGGTATAATTTAATGGCGCATTAGGTATTGGAGGTTTAAAAAGGCTAAAAAAATATGACTTGGGTTTCTCATCCTTACAAAGTCCATGGCCTGTTTCTTCGCATTGTGAGGGGGCATGGGTGGCCCAGTCGTCTAAGGCGCTGCGATTTGCTGTGCAGAGTTGCGTCCCTTGGGCACGCCAAAAACCTATGATTGTGGGTTTGAATCCTGGTTCACCCCGATTATGTTTCTCGGTTGTCAGCACCATACCCATGCTCCTGTGTTTCACCGAAGTGGTAAATGTCTGAGACCTGCATCACTTCGGGATTTCCTCCCACATTAAACTTACACGCCGTGATATAACTGGAATAATGTTAAGAGCGGTGTTAAACCCAACTCACTCACTCACTCACTCACTCACTTCGCATTGTGAAATGCAATCAAAGCTTATTGTATGCATGTATTATGCACACACTGGTAGTCCCACAGAAATCAATTACTGTAGACCCGTGAAGATTCCGGGGTAGAATAGGTCTTCAGCAACTCATGCTTGCCGTAAAAGGTGACTATGCTTGTCGTAAAAGGCGACTAACGGGATCGTTAAAATTTTGCTGATATGTTGTATGTGTTGGTTGAAGATCAACCAACCCAATTGTTTACTATTTTGTGTTCATTTGATGTATGTGTGTGGTCTCACACCATCTTAATGTTGACATTTGGCTAGTTTATGTGCAGTATCAACAAACTGTCTTAATCCATCAATTGTCCTAAAAGATGCAGTAACACGTAGCTCTGCTGCTCCCTAGAAATGATTTTGATTGTGACTTGTCTAGAGCTACGACTGTTCCATAGTATTGTCCTAATCGATTCCCAATTTGAAACACAGCTCGCTGACAACCCTGCCATAATGTCCATGAATCGTAATTGCACGAAAACTGCAACATGATTCCCTTCCTAAACCACTAGCCTTGAAACATGTGTAGTTAATTTTTTGATCATGCAACTTACTCATTGAGAGGGTACAGATATTTGTCTGCCATTAGATAAAATCCTTACTGGTCCTGCATCCAACTCGATAAGTAAATATATTGTTGCAAATTCCAAAGTAAACCTGGTATTTGAAGGCAAGTGCCTTTGGATTAGAAGTCAATCATATTGCATTTGTTGTAAGAACTTGACACATACACTTTGTGTAAGCATATTAAGTGCAATACTGATTTCGAATGGGGATCTATTTGAAAATCATTAAATGACAGCCTGTTTACTGTAGTATTTATCATATTTCATATGATGAGTAAACTAACATTGCTAAGATCATGTCTTTTTGTTTCCATTTTCAGTATAGTATGTGGTGCAGCCAGTTCATCTGTTCTGCAATAGTGCAATGGAGAAAAATAAACAAAATTGTACCCTGTTAGTCACAACTTGGCTTATTGTCCTAATACCCTGATCATGTGGATCCAGACTGAAATATTTACAGGCTGCCATGATATTGCTGGAAAACTGATGAGTGCAGCTTTAACAACATTACTCGCTCATTTGTACACCAAGACGAAAGAGTAACTAAAACAATTAAGTGTGTCTTCAGTTGCCTGTGGAGAACAAAGAATACTCTCACACTCAACAAAACAAGAAGTCTTTTTTTAGCCATTTATTTATGAAGTACATTTAAATAAGAAATGTATGGGAAATTAATGTCAATGTATATAATTGTACAGTGGTTTAGGAACAGGCACAAAAATGGATTAAGAAAATATATCTGTAACAAACATTTTAAACAATTAACAAAGCACCATTTTACATTCAAATGATAGACAGCACTTTTTACATTAGAAATGGAATAGAGAAATAAAGCTTGAGGAATAATAGAAATATAAAGAATTCAAAGAAACACTAAGATATTTATAGCGTAAATATGTGTGAAGAGGTAAGAAAGACAATACAGGTGTGTTGACTACATCAAGAAAATTGTGACCATAAGATTGTGTATGGTCCAAAGCATTTTGGAGGGTGCAGATAAACAGGCATGTGGTGCAGGCCAAAACATTGCCTCAATGAAACCAAGGAGGTCAGGTCAGGTGTGGACCGCTTGCCCTTTCCAGAGGAAGTATGTCAGGGTGTGTATTGCCACAAGGCTGTGTTGGGTGTAGATAAATTGTCCTTGACAGAGCGGGTATTTTGGGCCTGTTGTATTGCCTCTGAAACCCGTTGGCCAAGGTTTGGTGATAAATTAGACTCTGACTCAATAAAACTCTGAATAAATTACATGCTTTGTAGAGAATCTCCGCAAATTGAAACAGTTTCATATCAGACTGGTATAAGATAATTGGACTAGATATAGAGTATGTGTAGAAATGCATGTTTTATAATTATTTATCACATAAGTATAAAGTGTGCCAAATACATCTAGTAAATGTAGCTTCTTCTGAAGTATGCTTAGAAATGCACAACCAAATTTGACACATTATAAAATATAAACAGACCCCATAATGCATGGCATTAATTTGAAAGTTGCTTATTACATTTCAGAGACATTGTCCTCTTCTTATAATGAAGAAGGCATGTTATTATTATGCTTATTCAAAAGCAGCATGAAGGATAAATAATGTTGGTTATATTGAATAATTATTAATATATATATTATTAATTACAATGACATAAATAAAGTGCAGGTACCATTTGTCATATTAATTATGTTGGTTTTACTTAATAATTATTAGTTTATAATATATTCAAAGCAATGACATAAATAAAGTACAAGTACCATTTGTCATATAAATATTGTTGGTTATACTTAATAATTATTAATTTATGTTATATTCATAGCAATGACATAAATAAAGTACCATTACTATTTGTCATTTAAATAATGTTGGTTATATTGAATAATTATTAATGTATATAATATAAATTACAATGATATAAATAAAGTGCAGGTACCATTTGCCATATAAATTATGTTGGTTATACTTAATAATTATTAGTTTATAATATATTCATAGCAATGACATATATAAAGTACCGTTACCATTTGTCATATAAATAATTTTGGTTATATTGAATAATTATTAATGTATATTATATTTATAACAATGACATATATAAAATACATGCAACATTTGTCATATAAATTATGTTGGTTATATTGAATAATTATTAATGTATATAATATTGATAATAATAATGACATATATAAAGTACATATAACATTTGTCATATAAATAATGTTGATTATTTTGAATAATAATAAATGTATATAATATTAATAACAATGACATATATAAAGTACATGTAACATTTGTCATATAAATTATGTTGGTTATTTTGAATAAATATTAATGTATATAATATTAATAATAACAATGACATATATAAAGTACAGGTACCATTTGTCATGTAAAAAATGTACGTAAAATTCAACTGGTCCTACACTTCAACCCTCCCATCACACTAGTCCTACACCTAACCCTCTCATAACACACCCCAACCCTCCTATCACACACTTGTTCTACACCTCAACCCTCCCATCACACACTTGTTCTACACCTCAACCCTCCCATCACACACTTGTTCCACACCTCAACCCTCCCATCACACACTTGTTCCACACCTCAACCCTCCCATCACACTTGTTCTACACCTCAACCTCCCATCACACTTGTTCTACACCTCAACCCTCCCATCACACACTTGTTCTACACCTCAACCCTCCCATCACACACTTGTTCTACACCTCAACCCTCCCATCACACACTTGTTCCACACCTCAACCCTCCCATCACACTTGTTCTACACCTCAACCTCCCATCACACTTGTTCTACACCTCAAACCTCCCATCACACTTGTTCTACACCTCAACCTCCCATCACACTTGTTCTACACCTCAACCTCCCATCACACTTGTTCTACACCTCAACCCCCCATCACACTTGTTCTACACCTCAACCCTCCCATCACACACTTGTTCTACACCTCAACCCTCCCATCAGTCTTGTCCTACACCTAACCCTCTCATCACACACCTCAACCCTCCCATCACACATATATCCTACACCTCAACCCTCCCATCACACACCTCAACCCTCCCATCACACACCTCAACCCTCCCATCACACACTTGTTCCACACCTCAACCCTCCCATCACACTTGTTCTACACCTCAACCTCCCATCACACTTGTTCTACACCTCAAACCTCCCATCACACTTGTTCTACACCTCAACCTCCCATCACACTTGTTCTACACCTCAACCTCCCATCACACTTGTTCTACACCTCAACCCCCCATCACACTTGTTCTACACCTCAACCCTCCCATCACACACTTGTTCTACACCTCAACCCTCCCATCAGTCTTGTCCTACACCTAACCCTCTCATCACACACCTCAACCCTCCCATCACACATATATCCTACACCTCAACCCTCCCATCACACACCTCAACCCTCCCATCACACACTTGTTCTACACCTCAACCCTCCCATCAGTCTTGTCTTACACCTCAACCCTCCCAGCACACACCTCAACCCTCCCATCACACACCTCAACCCTCCCATCACACACCTCAACCCTCCCATCACACATATATCCTACACCACAACCCTCCCATCACACACTTGTTCTACACCTCAACCCTCCCACCAAACACTTGTCATACACCTCAACCCTCCTGTCACACCCCAACCCTCCCATCACACACTTGTTCTACACCTCAACCCTCCTATGACAAACCTGTCTACACCTCAACCCTCCCATCACACACTTGTTCCAAACCCCAACCCTCCCATCACACACTTGTCATAACCTCAACCCCATTTACAGAGCAGGTATTTCAGGTCTAAATATTGCCACAATGTAACTGAAAGTCAGGTCAGGTGTAGACTGCCAGCCCACAGAGCAAGTATGTCAGGGTGGGTATGGATACAAGGTTGTGTTGGGTGTAGATAAGTTGTCCTTGACAGAGCAGGTATCTTGGGCCTAAAGTATTGCCTCTGAAACTTGTAGGACAAGGTTTGGTAAACAATTAGACTCTCACTCTGAAAATAACAAACGCTTTGCATTGAATATACTCTACCTTGATCCAGTTTCATATCAGACTGGTACAAGATTATTAGACTATAGAGTATGTATTGAAGATAGGAAATTTAATTTCTGAGTTTATGTATCAAAGTCACCCCATATAGAAATAGAAACACTGAGGGTAAGAAGCACATGTGTTAGTTACTAGATGCAGCACATTTTGTATGTGGAGGGAAAAGGTATTACTGTTACTGTTTTCATTATTTTGAGAAAGAACTCAATCTAAAATTATGAATATTTTCCCTTATTTATGTGGTATTTGTATTTCATATTAGAAATCATAGATAAATGTGGACATACTTCTCCACATTTTCTCATGTTTATATTTTTTGCACCATCATGCCATATAACATCAAATTATTTAGTTTCTATGCTCCATACAAGGATCTTTTTAAACATATTTTGAATCTAACATCCATCAGCAATTCCCGAGACAGACATGCTAGACTTGCTGCTTGCTGCATGCTAGCTCACAATCATTTGAGGATGAAATAGATGGAGGGTTAGCCTTACTGCTTTCAGTTTGGTAGACCTATTTCCTTTCTTGATGTATTCCCCTCATCAGGTGACAGAATGAATATGTTTTATAATGATTTATCACATAAGTAAAAGTGTGCCAAATACATCTAGTAAATGTAGCTTCTTCTGAAGTATGCTTAGAAATGCACAACCAAATTTGACACATTATAAAATATAAACAGACACCATAATGCATGGCATTAATTTGAAAGTTGCTTATTACATTTCAGAGACATTGTCCTCTTTTTATAATGAAGAAGGCACGTAATTATTATGCTTATTCAAAAGCAACATGAAGGATAAATAATGTTGGTTATATTGAATAATTATTAATGTATATAATATTAATTACAATGATGTAAATAAAGTGCAGGTACCATTTGTCATATAAATTATGTTGGTTATACTTAATAATAATTAGTTTATAATATATTCAAAGCAATGACATAAATAAAGTACAAGTACCATTTGTCATATAAATTATGTTGGTTATACTTAATAATTATTAGTTTATATTATATTCATAACAATGACATATATAAAGTACCATTACTATTTGTCATATAAATAATGTTGGTTACATTGAATAGTTATTAATGCACATAATATTAATAGCAATGACAAACATAAAGTACATGTAACAATTGTCATATAAATTATGTTGGTTATATTGAATAATTATTAATGTATATAATATTAATAACAATGACATATAAATTACATATAACATTTGTCATATAAATAATGTTGGTTATGTTGAATAATTATAAGTTTATATAATATAAATAGCAATGACTTATATAAAGTACAAGTACCATTTGTCATATAAATTATGTTGGTTATACTTAATATTTATTAGTTTATAATATATTCATAGCAATGACATAAATAAAGTACAAGTACCATTTGTCATATAAATTATGTTGGTTATACTTAATATTTATTAGTTTATATTATATTCATAGCAATGACATAAATAAAGTACAAGTACCATTTGTCATATAAATTATGTTGGTTATACTTAATAATTATTAATTTATATTATATTCATAGCAATGACATAAATAAAGTACAAGTACCATTTGTCATATAAATTATGTTGGTTATACTTAATAATTATTAATTTATATTATATTCATAGCAATGACATAAATAAAGTACAAGTACCATTTGTCATATAAATTATGTTGGTTATACTTAACAATTATTAATTTATATTATATTCATAGCAATGACATATATAAAGAACCATTACTATTTGTCATTTAAATAATGTTGGTTATATTGAATAATTATTAATGTATATAATATTAATAGCAATGACAAACATAAATTACATGTCACAATTGTCATATAAATTATGTTGGTTATATAGAATAATTATTAATGTATATAATATTAATAACAATGACATATATAAATTACATATAACATTTGTCATATAAATAATGTTGGTTATGTTGAATAATTATAAGTTTATATAATAAAAATAGCAATGACTTATATAAAGTACAAGTACCATTTGTCATATAAATTATGTTGGTTATATTGAATAATTATAAATGTATATAAGATTAATAACAATGACATATATAAATTACATATAACATTTGTCATATAAATAATGTTGGTTATGTTGAATAATTATAAGTTTATATAATATAAATAGCAATGACTTATATAAAGTACAAGTACCATTTGTCATATAAATTATGTTGGTTATACTTAATAATTATTAGTTTATAATATATTCATAACAATGACATATATAAAGTACATGTAACAATTGTCATATAAATTATGTTGGTTATATGGAATAATTATTAATGTATATAATATTAATAACAATGACATATATAAATTACATATAACATTTGTCATATAAATAATGTTGGTTATGTTGAATAATTATTAGTTTATATTATATTCATAGCAATGACATAAATAAAGTACAAGTACCATTTGTCATATAAATTATGTTGGTTATACTTAATAATTATTAGTTTATAATATATTCATAACAATGACATATATAAAGTACATGTTACAATTGTCATATAAATTATGTTGGTTATATGGAATAATTATTAATGTATATAATATAAATAGCAATGACTTATATAAAGTACAGGTACCATTTGTCATATAAATTATGTTGGTTATATTGAATAATTATTAATGTATATAATATTAAGAACAATGACATGAATAAAGTACCAGTACCATTTGTCATTTAAATAATGTTGGTTATATTAAATAATTATTAGTATATATTATATGAATAGCAATGACATATATAAATTACATCTACCATTTGTCATATAAATAATGTTAGTTACATTCAGTAATCATTAATTAATAATATATTCATAGCAATGACATATATAAATTACATGTAACACTTATCATATAAATAATGTTCTGATATTGAATAATTATTAGTATATATTATATTAATAGCAATGACATATATAAAGAACATATAACCTTTGTCATGTAAGTAATGTTGGTTATATATAATAATTATTAGTTTACATGATATTAATAGCAATGACATATTTAAAGTACTGGAACCATTTGTCATTAAAATAATGTTGGTTACATTCAATAATCATTTATTAATATTATATTAATAGTAATGACAGAGAAGATACAGGTACTTTTTGTCATAATGAAAAAACATCAAACATTTTCGTAAAATAAAAGTCACCCAACTCTTCATTTTATCAACTTTCCTACAACTCAACCCTCTCATCACACACTTGTCCTACACCTAAACCCTTCCTCCAACAGATTTAAACTTATATTTTAGGAATTCATGGTCAACACACCTGTATAGTCTTCACTTACCCAACACACATGGCTTGACTTGGTTATTGTTGTGCTGCTACCATGACGATATGTTTATCATGGAATTTACTTGTGTCCAAAGCAGGATCTAAATGGGCGCAAGATTCTTGACAGTGCCTAAAAAATAGAACACAATATTTCTACACTATCTGGTTTAAAACTTGTTGCACAGCTTGTTATATAATGTGCCATCATTATTGAGACTGCATCTAATCCTTAGGTAAAAAACATGGTGATATTGTTGTTTAACACCCCACTCAACAATACTGAAGCTAGATTCATGGACCAGACAATCCAGTGATTGATATTCTGAGCAAAATCCCACACTGTCAGCATAAGATAACAGGCAATCAACCAAGTCAATGAGCTTGACAAGCAGAAGTCCCCAACCTATTCTAAGCTAGTATTACCAGAGTACAACTTTTGTCAAAAACAGGTGACACATTAGGAAGAGTAAAATAGTTTAGTTGTTGGTCTCCATCTTTATTGGCTTACCTTCTTACAGTAGATCAATGGGATGCTTACATCAGATACAGAATGTTAACAACATAAGCAGGGTTAAAAAGTCAGTCACATAAAACTGGAGGATACATACCCGGCGAAGCCGATTGGGAATGCTTGTCTTTTTACTTGCAGAAACCCCTGTAAGAATGATTTGGACATTAGTAAAGCCCTCCTTTCATTGGATATTTGTGAAATGTGTGATGTCTGCAATATTCCAGTTATTTGACGCCAGTCAGTAAATAATCAAATCAGGAACGGAAAATACAGTGACTGATATTATGAACAATGATCCATGCCTTTTAGGTACTTTAACATACTATCAACCAAGTCACTGAGCCTGACCACCCAATCCAATAAGTTGCCTCTTACCAACAGCATTGGCTGCTGGGGAATAATTCTAACCTGGCATCCCTAGTGTTTTGAGAAATGTGTCAGGAATGTTAAAATGTTTCTAGAGTGTACATGGGAATAAAGCCACAAACTGCCTGGAGTACTGGTGAAATATTCATTGTGCCTACCTCTCAGGTTAAGTGTGAACAATTACGGGTTGTTGAGCATGAAACATTTATCTGGGAAAAAGGTCACAATTTTTATTTTTTGTGATTTTCTGACTCGGCTATAATTAAAAGCTTTTAACTAAAAAGTTTTTCCCTTACATTTCTTAACAGTTTTGTAATATAACTAATATAAAATCAAACACCTAACATGTCACTTTCAATATTATGCTCTGTAATACTATAACACATTTCCCCCTTATGATATAGACTGGAACATCACATCTATATATAATCACATCAAAATGAAAAGATACCCTTCCGATTCTGACCATATTCCACATCACCCATATGTTACATTAACCATAAACCTTGTTTTTCTCCTTCACCCATACAGTTCTTTAACAAAAAAAATATTCTTCTCCCAGAAAACCGGATCCCTTTTCAAACCCACCTCAAAATAAAACACAGTTTCACCTTGAACTGCATGTCTGCCCTTCAATAAAACACAGTTTCTCCTTGAACTGCATGTCTGCCCTTCAATAAAACAGTTTCTCCTTGAACTGCATGTCTGCCCTTCAATAAAACACAGTTTCTCCTTGAACTGCATGTCTGCCCTTTAATAACCCAGAATATTACAATGCATCTTTAAGTCAAAACCCTGATTCAACCAAAGTCACTTCACATCAGTTTCATATTTTTACTACTACAACCCCAACTGTTTCTACCATTGCCTTTGTTTCTATCTCTATATCTGTCCTTTCAATATAAGTCTACATTATAACCATTACCCTTGGACAGTTCCTCTTCTGCAATGCTGTCACTTGCTGTTTTTTCAGAATAAGAGCTGCTGACATCTGCTTTTGGTGAGGCAGCATAGGTGGTTCTGACAGCTGCTTTTGGTGAGGCAGAACATGTGGTGATGACAGCTGCTTTTGGTGAGGCAGAACATGTGGTGCTGACAGCTGCTTTTTGTGATGCGGAACATGTGGTGATGACAGCTGCTTTTGGTGAGGCAGAACATGTGGTGATTACAGCTGCTTTTGGTGAGGCAGAACATGTGGTGATTACAGCTGCTTTTTGCGAGGTGGGACATGTGGTAACTGCAGCTGCTTCTGGTGAGGTGTTAAATGCAGTGCTGACAGCTGACTCTTTTGAGGTGGCACATGTCTGTCTAACAGCTGTTTCTGGTGAGGCAGCATGAGTTGTGCTTACAGATGCTTTTGGTGAGATGGTATGAATGGTGCCAAGAGCTCTTTCTCTTCTTTTAGCAGTACAGTAGACACCTAGTTTTGTTATCGCTCCCTGTTTAATGCTGTTATATGCAGTTGGTGAGTATGCAAGCTTGGAGCTGTCACTTGTTTTTTGCTCTGCTGCTTGCATGGTTATCATTTCTGTGGTGACACATGTGTGCCTGACTGCTTCTTTTAGTGAGGCAAAATTTGTGTAGCTTACAACTGCTCTTGGTGGATCAATCATACAATTGACAGCTGCCTTTGGTGAAGTCATACACATGTCTCTGACAGCTGCTTTTGGTAAGGCAACACTTCTGTAACTGACAAGCCCTCTATGTGAGCTGGCAAGTGTAGTAAGTTTAACTGCTTGTAAATTTGGTGCACTGTCCTGTTCGGTGTTGTTACTTTCATAGTCGACGCTCTCAGTTGCTGATGGTGTATTGTCATGGTTGTTGCTCTCACTTGAAGCTGGTGAAGGGTCATATGTTGCACTGTCACCGGAACATGGTGATGAAGCACATGTGAAGCCTTTGCTGACTGTTGTGGTGAACCTAGGGGTGAGAACACCCTTTCTTTTGACAGCTATTCTTGAGATAGCAGCTGGTTTTGATATGCCTTCATTTACCATGTTCACTTTTGTTTTTGGTGAACTGGTGTGTGTGCAACGGTCAACTGCTTTTATTGTGACTCCACTTCTTGTACTCTCATTTACTATTTGTGAGGTGGCAAGTGTTGGGCTCTCAGCAGCTTTTCGCTTGTCAACATGTATGGTTCTGATGACTAATTTTGCTGATTGTGTAGTGGCAAAGCAGTTGCCCTTACTTGCTGATTGTGTTGGGGCAAAGCTGTTGCCCTCACTTGCGGATGGTGTTGGAACAATGTTGTTGCCTTCACTTGCTAATTGTGTTGGGGTAAAGCTGTTGCCCTCACTTGATGGTGTTGGGGTAAAATTGTTGCCCTCACTCACTGATGGTGTTGGGGTAAAATTGTTGCCCTCACTCACTGATGGTGTTGGGGTAAAATTGTTGCCCTCACTTACTGATGGTGTTGGGGCAAAGTTGTTGCCCTTCCTTGCTGATGGTGTAAGGATGAAGTTGTTGCCCTCACTTACTGATGGTGTTGTGGCAAAGTTGTTGCCCTCACTTACTGATGGTCTAGGGATGTAGTTGTTGCCCTCACTTGCTGATGGTGTTGGGGCAAAGTTCTTGTCCTCACTTGCTGATGGTGTCTGGGCAAAGTTGTTGCCCTTATTTGGTGATGGTGTTGTGGCAAAGTTGTTACCCTCACTTGCTGATTTTGGTGGGGCAAAGTCTTTGTTCTTGCTCGCTGATGATGTTGGGGCATCATATGTGATGCTATCACAGCTGTCACTTTCAGTTGGAAATTTAGCACACCTACTGTCCATAACTGCTTTTCTTTTGATGGCAATACTTTTCTTGACTGTTGATTTTGGTGAAGCTTCATGTGTATTATTGTCACACGATGTTATTGAAATGACATTTGTGGTGTGGCCAGTTGCTTTTCGTTTGGCAACAAGTATAGTTCTGAAAGCTGTTTTTGGCGCTGTGTCTTGTGTGGTGTTCTCACATGCTTTTGCTGCAGCAACACATAGTATGCTCTTGGTTGCTAACAGTGTTGGTGTGCAGTTGTCACTCTCACTTCCTGATGGTGAAGGGGCAAAGTTGTTGCTCTCACTTCCTGATGGTGTAGGGGCATATGTAATGCTCTGACTTGCTGAAGGTGTTGGGACATAATTGTTGCCCTCACTCCCTGATGCTGTTGTGGTAAAGTTGTTGCTCTGACTTCCTGATGGTGTAGGGGCAAAGTTGTTGCTCTCACTTCCTGATGGTGTAGGGGCATATGTAATGCTCTGACCTGCTGAAGGTGTTGGGACATAATTGTTGCCCTCACTTGCTGATTGCGTAGGGCCATATGCAAGGTTCTCATTTCCCGATTCTGTTGGGGCATCATATGATATGCTCTCACAACTGTCACTTTCAGTTGGAAATTTAGCACACCTACTGTCCATAACTGCTCTTCTTTTGATGGCAATACATTTCTTAACTGTTGATTTGTGTGAAACTTCATGTGTATTACTGTCACATGATTTTTTTGAAAAGACATTTGTGTTGCAGGCAGATGCTTTTCGTTTGGCAACAAGTTTAATTCTGAAAGCTGCTTTAGGTGCAGTGTCGTGTGTGGTGTTCTCACATGCTTTTGTCGCAGCAACACATAGTGTGCTCTTGGTTGCTAATAGTGTTGGGGCAAAGTTGTCACTCTCACTTCCTGATGGTGTTGGAGTAAAGTTGTTGCCCTCATTTGCTGATGTTGCTGGGGCAAAGTTGTCACTCTCACTTACTGAAGTTGCTGGGGCAAAGTTGTCACTCTCACTTCCTGATGGTGTTGGTGTAAAGTTGTTGCACTCATTTGCTGATGGTGTTGGGGTAAAGTTGTTGCCCTCACTCACTGATTGTGTTGGGGTAAAGTTGATGCAGTCACTTGCTGATGGTGTTGGGGTAAAGTTGATGCCCTCACTTGCTGATGGTGTTGGGGATAAGTTGTTGCTCTCACTTGCTGATGGTGTTGGGGTAAAGTTGATGCCCTCACTTACTGATGGTGTTGGGGCAAAGTTGATGCCCTCACTAGCTGATGGTGTTGGGGCAAAGTTGATGCCCTCACTTGCTGATGGTGTTGGGGCAAAGTTGATGCCCTCACTTGCTGATGGTGGTAGGGTAAAGTTGTTGCCCTCACTCACTGATTGTGTCCAGGCAAAGTTGATGACCTCACTTGCTGATGGTGTTGTGGCAAAGTTGTTGCCCTCACTTGCTGATGGTATTGGGGCAAAGTTGTTGCTCTCACTTGCTGATGGTGTTGGGGTAAAGTTGATGCCCTCACTTGCTGATGGTGTTGGGGCAAAGTTGATGCCCTCACTAGCTGATGGTGTTGGGGCAAAGTTGATGCCCTCACTTGCTGATGGTGTTGGGGCAAAGTTGATGCCCTCACTTGCTGATGGTGGTAGGGTAAAGTTGTTGCCCTCACTCACTGATTTTGTCCAGGCAAAGTTGATGACCTCACTTGCTGATGGTGTTGTGGCAAAGTTGTTGCCCTCACTTGCTGATGGTGTTGGGGCAAAGTTGATGCCCTCACTTGCTGATGGTTTTGGGGCAAAGTTGTTGTCCTCACTTGCTGATGGTGTTGGGGCAAAGTTGTTGTCCTCACTTGCTGATGGTGTTGGGGCAAAGTTGTTGTCCTCACTTGCTGATGGTGTTGGGGTAAAGTTGATGCCCTCACTTACTGATGGTGTTGGGGCAAAGTTGTTGCCCTCACTTGCTGATGGTGTTGTGGCAAAGTTGATGCCCTCACTTGCTGATGGTGGTAGGGTAAAGTTGTTGCCCTCACTCACTGATTGTGTTTGGGAAAAGTTGGTGCTCTCACTTGCTGATGGTGTTGTGGCAAAGTTGATGCCCTCACTTGCTGATGGTGGTAGGGTAAAGTTGTTGCCCTCACTCACTGATTGTGTCCAGGCAAAGTTGATGACCTCACTTGCTGATGGTGTTGTGGCAAAGTTGTTGTCCTCACTTGCTGATGGTGTTGGGGCAAAGTTGTTGTCCTCACTTGCTGATGGTGTTGGGGCAAAGTTGTTGTCCTCACTTGCTGATGGTGTTGGGGCAAAGTTGTTGTCCTCACTTGCTGATGGTGTTGGGGCAAAGTTGATGCCCTCACTTGCTGATGGTGGTAGGGTAAAGTTTTTGCCCTCACTCACTGATTGTGTTCGGGAAAAGTTTTTGCTCTCACTTGCTGATGGTGTTGGGGTAAAGTTGATGCCCTCACTTACTGATGGTGTTGGGGCAAAGTTGTTGCCCTCACTTGCTGATGGTGTTGTGGCAAAGTTGATGCCCTCACTTGCTGATGGTGGTAGGGTAAAGTTGTTGCCCTCACTCACTGATTGTGTTTGGGAAAAGTTGGTGCTCTCACTTGCTGATGGTGTTGTGGCAAAGTTGTTGCCCTCACTTGCTGATGGTGTTGGGGCAAAGTTGATGCCCTCACTAGCTGATGGTGTTGGGGCAAAGTTGTTGTCCTCACTTGCTGATGGTGTTGTGGCAAAGTTGTTGCCCTCACTTGCTGATGGTGTTGTGGCAAAGTTGATGCCCTCACTTGCTGATGGTGTTGGGGCAAAGTTGATGCCCTCACTTGCTGATGGTTTAGGAGCAGGTGTCTCCACACTTTGAAAGTCAACACCCACAGAGTGAGGTGATAGTCTGAAAAGAAAGATATATATCTTTGGCATTGAATGATAACTTATAAACTTGTCAATGAATAAGAAAGTGGGCATCTTAATTGTCATGTCAACATATTAAGAATGAGTGTGTTTTGACTTTTAAATGTTTGCACTTTCAAGATCCTAACAGACGACGTATTTATTTGACAAACAAATTACAGACTAAAACTGTACCTGTCTGCTGATGGGAGCAAAGCTACTAATTCAGCTGTTATTTCATGTCCAGGGCTAGTTTCTGCCTCTGTTCCAAGAACTGTGTCCTCTGTTGCAGCCTGGCTACTACAGCTGGTTCTGTTAGAGAACATGAGATCTGAAGTATTAATGCTGAAATATAGTATTAAGGCTTTATTAAGGCTCCAATAGCGCCGCCTCACCTTTTTCTAGACTAAAACTGAAAGTAATCTTCATAAGGACCCCATACTAAGACCAAATTTTACATGATTGCCAATATTTTCTTCAGCATATTACAGATTTTTTGTTTTACAGAAAACAACAATGCAGAAGGAGTGTAATTGCCTTGTACCGATTATGTGCTTATTGGAAATCCCTTTGGTTTTGTCAACGTTTGTACTAAGTTTGTTCACTACTCCTCGATCTCTTGAAACAAATTTAACTTGTTGGGTATGATATTAATTGTCACCCCTCAGTCAACTTTCTAATCACACCGGGTTCTTATTATGGTTATTATGGTAACTGTATTTCAAATGCAGCCAAAACTGACAGTTAAACTCTTCATGTTGGAGCTCATTATGGTCCAAATAATAACACTTAAATCTACTGAAAATGATGCTCAGGGCCAAATTGGGGTCAGTAGGCTAGAAAAAGAAGAAGAATTAAAGAAATTAAATGTTTGAAGCCAGCATATTCTTACAGCCTGTTCATTACATTACACACTGATGCATGCATAACTGGGTATATAGAAGGCTAGAATTACAAGAGGATGTTCATCATGATAGCCACGGCACTATTAGCATCTACTGCAGTCAGGTTGAAATTGTAATATTTACCGGTATCGCAAAATATTTAGCAAATATAAATTGTGTTATTGGTCATACCACATACTTACTGCATATCAAATTTCATAATGATACATGTTTAAAATAAGATCAGAAATCTATTAAATTGTTAAAGACATCATTGCCAGGATCACATATACACAAACTGTCAGCTACAGAAACCCAGAAGCATATAACTAGAAGACCGCCTCCGTGGTCTAGTGGTATAGCATCTGCTCCACCACGCCATACCAAAAGATTTCAAAAGATGGTACTTGTTGTTACCCTGCCTGGTGCTCGGCATTAAGGGACTAAAGTAAGGACTGGTCGGCTTATAGTCAGTTTACTGTGTCTGAATGAGGTATTCATGTTAAACCTGCGGCTTGGTATCTCAGTGGGCTAGCATTATAAAATCGCCATTAGTCTGGACTAGTACAAGCATACATGCACGCATGGATGCACATATACATGCATGTCACTAAATAAGTGCAATAATTCTGAACACGACCACAAAACCCATAGAAATACCAGATAAAAAGATTATGTGGTATGCTTGATGAGAGAGGACAGCAGGATAACCATGTAATATTATTTCATTGTTACAGAAACAAAACATTCATTTTATTACAACTTTTGGTAAAGCAGTCTTTGCCTTGTAAGATATTGTATTTGTGAATCATTATCAATAATGGCCAAAATTGAGTGCAGATAACAGTGCCTATTGATAAAGATTCTGGGTTGGAATAGGTCCCAAACGTTGGTACATCTTCCCGGGCAAGGTAGTTCACTGACTATATAAGTCACTGAACTACCTTGCCTCCGGAAGATGACAAAATAATTTTTCACAATTCAAGAATATTACTTAAATTCTAAACCATACCTAAATTTGTCATTTCCATTTCCATGAACAAATCCAAGTTTCATAAATGTTATTTACATATTCATAACATTTCTTAAAGACTGTAAAAGATTTTATTTAAAGTATCTTTCCTTATTTTACTGACATGAACAAATGTAAATCCCATGGTATCTTTCAGATTTTTTTTGACATTGTGTTGTTGCAGAAAAAGATTCCTTATGATTTTTTTTTCAGATCCTGAATATTTTTTATAATATCCAGCATGCGCAGCAAATGATTTTTTTGTTTTTCACGAGCTTGGAAACATTATATTTTTTCATAACCTCACAGGCTGGTCCCTCTCCCGGTGATTTCTTATGAGTTACATGAACTAATCTGTCATTGTGTTGTATCCATGTTTCACAATCTTATTGTGTCTGAGAAGTCAAATGAGAGTGGACAGACAACATGCCATTGATAAGCACAATTGTATCGTAGGTCCCATGGACTTAAAAAAATTGAAAGATAGCAGAAAATTACCTGAATACACTTTAAAAGATACCAAGATAAATTGTTCAATGTGTGATAGGAAAAATATTAGGTTTTTTTATTCACATATATCTTATTCACATAGTGAAAGGATAGGTACTGGTTACCGACCTGTTATGAATATCTCCAATTTTTTTCATGTTATTTCTGACATTCCGTTTACCAAATTGACTGTACCAATAACTTAATTTTTGTGAAACTATGAGCAAATGCACTTATTTCTGTCCATGGAATAGGATTCATTTGATTTCTGTTATAACCCAACGATTTGGAATCAAAACAGTGGAAATATGACTTTCCCATCGACTTAATGTACCAGTTATCTCCATCTTAACAACATGTGGGGGCACAGGTGTCCCAGTCGTCTAAGGCGCAGCAATTTGCTGTGCAGAGATGCGTCCCTTGGGCACGTCAGAAACCTATGATTGTTGGTTTGGTTTGAATCCCAGTTCGCCCCGATTATGTTTCAGCACTACATCTGTGATTGGGTGTCACCCAAGTGGTAAACGTCTGAGACCTGCATCACTTTGGGCTTTCCTCCCACATTAAGCTGACATCGCGATATAACTGGAATACTGTTAAAAGCAGCGTTAAACCCAACTCACTCACTTAACAACAGGTGCTAAGAGATCACGCGCACAGCTTCTGTTATACAAATTACATATTTTGGTATCGCACTCATATTTTTTAATCTTCAAAATGAATAAGAACTGCTATTGTTGTCTGCAAACTGACAAAAACCAATATTCCCCAAATTCGGTCTTATCCCTGACATTATGTACTGTGAATTCACAATTCCATTTAGAAAGTGGACAAATGTTACACTTCTAGCCTAGTTAGGGAACAAACTATCATGGCTTACTGTCCTATTAAAGGTAAACATAAATTGTCTGATAATATACAGCAACTGGTCTGGTTCAACATGAAAACCACATGCCTTGTTTTGATTTGAATTTAGATTCCAGGTTTTGGTCACAAGTGAAACAATGGGTTGGTAGATTTACCTGAAACATTTTGTGGAGCCTTACTTGAAAACAAATCTGTAGCTAGGAATCATGATTTACTTCCAACACAGGAATGAGCAATCTTTGATACGTTTTTCATAAACACATGTACACCAAATGCTCAACCTTGGGCATTTAGCACCAAAGCATTGGGCCTACTGCAGACACACAAAAAGACAGCTGTTTTTTCCTCTGCTGTGTTTGTCCCAGAGTGACGCCATTTCACTCTCAAGACATCGATTCACGTTGGTTTCGGTATCATCGTGATGTCGAGCTACTCTGTAAGCACTCCATTACATGGCTTGCAGTTGCTGCAGTTTACTAACATTAGCAGTGGAAACACGCCACGTTTAACACAGAAAGCACATCAACTCATTAACTCATATCAATTAGAAATCTAAGCGACAGAACTTCGGGCGTGTTGACATGACATGATGTTAGGCCCAGCTCGGCCCCACAAAAAACCCTGTTAACCCTTTCCGATAAAACATTAAACTCGGCATCAAAAGTAATTATAGTTTGCTCTACCCTCATGTGTTAAGATCTGATTTGTGACTGGTCACGGCTAGGTAAACCCGTGGTTGATTGCATGATCAACGACACACACCTTTGCGGTGTACGATGTCACACAAACGAAAACTGCTCGTGATACTGCCGACCCCGCGATGGCCAAACTCACTTACCTGACGTCCATGGTCAGGCAAAAGTGGTTGTGGTAAATTCGCTCATTTGCGTCTGATGTAGACCAATATTGACGAACTAACTTGATGAAGAACGCTTTACACAGTGGCATACGTAGTTGCTGGGCGCAGCCTTTCTGTGACGTCAGAATCATGTGTATTGCGTCACTATATGTAGCCTACGTGTGAGAAACGTCACATTCAATATATGTAAACACTCCAGCACACAGTGTCAGGTCATATTTGCGTCTTCTTTGTCAGAAGCATGTTCATAATAATGGATCAAGATGGAGTCAATTTAGAATAGTTCCCCTTGATTGAACGGAAAATAACACGAATTGTCTCGTTCGACTGTTTCCGTCAAGCCCACTTTCCTTCCCAGAGTTCCATGCGGCGAGGCATAGTACCTCTGCCGCAGACCAACTCGTGTTATTCCGGGAGTGGCCGAATAGCGAATCTTCAACAAATTATATCATTTGAATGTGGGGATAAATAAATTATGAGCACTTACGGCTAACGGGTTGTATGCAACAAAGGGTCGGATGTTGTCAATGTTCTGCATCTATGATCAAATGAAGAAACTGACACAAAACTCATTTTGCACATGTCAAATGCTACCAGACAGGTGGAGTGAAATGGGGTTTAAGGTCGCGTCCAGGATTATTGCACTTATATAGCGACGTGCATGTGGCTGCTTGTACTAATCCGAACTGATGCGGATTTATTGTGCTAGCCCACTGACATAGCTACCATGCCACAGTTAAACATGAATACCCCACTCAGACACAGTATACTGACTCCGAGTCGAGCAGTCCTTGTTTTAGCCCCTTATGCCGAGCGTCAGACAGGGTAACAACAAGTACTATCTTTTAACGTCTTTTTGTATGACGCGGCCGGGGATCGAACCCCGAACCTTCCCCTCTCCGGGCGGACGCTCTACCACTAGACCACGGAGGCAGTCGCCACCAGACAGGGTCATGATAGGATTTTGATTAAAACAGTTTATACTGAAGTCATTGTTCTGGCCATTGCATTGTTTGACAGAATAGATGTCTCACTTCTGGATAGCTTTTGGAACTGGCAAACATTCAGATATTTGTCTGCACATGTCCTTGCCGGCCTTCTTGAACAAGAGAAAGCCTGTTCAATTCCAGCTTTTCTTGCAGTAACTGGCAGTGACCAGACATCTTTCTACATGGAAAGGCAAATATTAAGACAGCTCGGGGAAACATGGAATGTGTGTGATGAAACAACAGAGGATTTCAATCTTATTGGTGATGTAAATACCGAACAGGAAGAGGAGAACATGATGCCCATCATTAAGCATTTTGTGGTCCTAATGTATACTCTGCAAAAAAGAAACGCAAAAGTAGTAAAATACAAAATTGTGTTGCTGATATCCATACAATATTAATACCCAAAATGAAAGAAAGAAGTACTGCAGAAATGTGGTGAAAAGATGGAAAAATCGGCAAAACACAACCATGTGACAGCCTGGCGCCGAAACACACCACCATGACATGGACGTGCAACATCCCTTGTTGGGCTATAAAAAACGTTCGGTTTTCATTTGCCCGCCAGCACAATCTTACAGCATGTGAACAGCGAAAGTTTGCCCAGCGCAACAACGCCATTGGCCGACTGCATACAGGCGAATCATTCGACATAGCATCAAGCAACTTTACAAGACTGTGGAACCGTTATCATATACACGGGACAACACGTGACCTACCCAGATCCGGTCGACCACCTATCACAACTAGAGTACAGGACAGATTCATACGGGTACGTCACTAAGGTGAAAGAACCACCGGCTTCATCTAAACAATAACGGCAATACGAGGATTGCGTAGGATATCAGCCCAGACAGTGAAACCGTTTACGCGCGGAAGGTATTCGCGCTGGACGACCAGTTCGAGGTCTTATTTTCACGGACCTGCATCGTCGGGTGTCAAGGCCACAGAGTATGGCCACAGAGTATGGCCACAGAGTATGGCCACAGAGTATGGCCACAACTGCGATGGAGACAAGTTTGTTTTAGTGATGAATCATGTTTAATGCTTCGCCGTGCGGATGGCAGACGCCATGTTTACAGGCATCTCGGGGAACGTTATGCCCGAAACTGCATACAGGAAGTGGAGAGATTTGGCAGTGGTATCTCCTACACTTCTAGAACAGACTTGGTGCACGTTCAAGGGAATATTACGGCACAATGTTACACGGATGAGATTCTTCGGCCACACGACCTTCTCATTATGCAAAAAGTGAACGTCTTTTTCTAACGCCCGACCTCACACGGCAAGACTGACAACAGCCTTTTTCAGTAATTGCAACATCAAGGTCCTGCCATGGCCCTTCAGGTCTCCAGATTTAAATCGGACATTTATGGGATGCACGAGATCAAAGACTGCGAGCACAAGCACTGCAGTTGGCACAAGCACTGCATGCCGAGTGGGTGAACATTCCCTTGGTCACAATTCGGGATCTGATTGCTTCCATTGGACGACGGTGCCAGTCAGTTTCACTTCAATGGTTTCCATACAAGATATTGAACACAGATGACCTTCAGCTTTAAAATCTACTGTTCCATGTATGCCATATGAAACCGGGGTCAATGAGAATGGTGTGCAAATTTTGGACAATCGATTACCAGCTGCTGATTATTTATATGATATATAAAATATACATCTAAAATCACTGTACAAGAGTTGATGAAGCACGCAAAGAATTTTTTAACTAAGGAAGGTAGAGCAATTGATTCCATTCCTCCTTCATCAGCTGCTTTGGCCCAACATGCCAAAAGGAGCTGTATTTCATGCTGGCCACTGATGGGGACGAAGTCAAGATGCCGAAACAGACCTTCCCACAACTGTAGGAATGTGTAACACCAGGAGCACATGGCCATGAGCCTTTGTGGACGACACTATCATCAGCTTCTAAGACATGTCAAGAGCTTTTGAGATGTAGTTGTAAGCCAATTAGATGATACGTCAATATATGTAATTGTTACAGATCCTGGCAGTAATATCATATGTTTTGCTGATATTACGTCAATGTAATTGTTCATGGTACTGACAGTAATATCACATGTTTTGCAGATGATACGTCAATGTAATTGTTCATGGTACTGACAGTAATATCATATGTTTTGCAAATGATACGTCAATGTAATTGTTTATGGTACTGACAGTAATATCATATGTTTTTCAGAAGATACGTCAATGTAATTGTTAATGGTACTCACAGTAATATCATATGTTCTGCAAATGATACTTCAATATATGCAATTGTTGCAGATCCAGGCAGTAATATCATATGTTTTGCAGATATTACGTCAATGCAATTGTTCAAGGTACTGACAGTAATATCATATGTTCTGCACAACATACGTCAATGTAATTGTTCATGGTACTGACAGTAATATCATATGGTTTGCAGATGATACGTGAATTAATTGTTCAAGGTACTGACAGTAATATCATATGTTTTGCAGATGATACGTCAATGTAATTGTTCATGGTACTGACAGTAATACAATATGTTCTGCAGAAGATACGTCAATGTAATTGTTCATGGTACTGACAGTCATATCATATGATCTGCAGATGATACGTCAATGTAATTGTTCATGGTTCTGACAGTAATATCATATGTTTTGCAGATGATACGTCAATGTAATTGTTCAAGGTACTGACAGTAATATCATATCTTTTGCAGATGATACGTCAATGTAATTCATCATGGTACTGACAGTAATATCATATGTTCTGCAGAAGATACGTCAATGCAATTGTTCATGGTACTGACAGTAATATCATATGTTTTGCAAATGATACGTCAGTGTAATTGTTCAAGGTGCTGACAGTAATATCATATGATCTACAGAAGATAATCAATGTAATTGTTCATTGTACTGACAGTAATATCATATGTTCTGCAGATGATACGTCAATGTAATTGTTCATGGTACTGAAAGTAATATCATATGTTTTGCAGAAGATACGTCAATGTAATTGTTCATAGTACTGACAGTAATATCATATGATCTGCAGATGATACGTCAATGTAATTGTTGAGGCTACTGACAGTAATATCAGATGTTTTGCAGATGATACGTCAATGTAATTGTTAATGGCACTGACAATAATATCATATGTTTTGCAGATGATGCGTTAATGTAATTGTTCATGATACTGACAGTAATATCATATGTTTTGCAGATGATACGTCAATGTAATTCATCATGGTACTGACAGTAATATCATATGTTCTGCAGAAGATACGTCAATGTAATTGTTCATGGTACTGACAGTAATATCAAATGTTTTGCAAATGATACATCAGTGTAATTATTCATGGTACTGACAGTAATATCATATGATCTACAGAAGATAATCAATGTAATTGTTCATTGTACTGACAGTAATATCATATGTTCTGCAGATGATGCGTCAATGTAATTGTTCATGGTACTGAAAGTAATATCATATGTTTTGCAGAAATACGTCAATGTAATTGTTCAAGGTACTGACAGTAATATCATATGTTTTGCAGATGATACGTCAATGTAATTGTTCATGGTACTGACAGTAATATCATATGTTTTGCAGATAAAACGTCAATGTAATTGTTCTCGGTACTGACAGTAATATCATATGTTCTGCAGAAGATACGTCAATGTAATTGTTTAAGGTACTGATAGTAATATCATATGTTTTGCAGATGATACGTCAATTAATTGTTCATGGTACTGACAGTAATATCATATGTTTTTCTGAAGAAACGTCAATGTTATTGTAATGGTACTGAAAGTAATATCATATGTTCCGCAAAAGATACGTTAGTATATGTAATTGTTGCAGATCCTGGCAGTAATATCATATGTTTTGCAGATATTACGTCAATGCAATTGTTCAAGGTACTGACAGTAATATCATATGTTCTGCAGAAGATACGTCAATGTAACTGTTCATGGTACTGACAGTGATATCAAATGTTCTACAGATGATACGTCAATGTAATTGTTAATGGTACTGACAGTAATATCATATGTTCCGCAAAAGATACGTTAGTATATGTAACTGTTGCAGATCCTGGCAGTAATATCATATGTTTTCCAGATATTACGTCAGTGTAATTGTTCAAGGTACTGAGAGTAATATCATATGTTCTGCAGAAGATACGTCAATGTAATTGTTCATGGTACTGACAGTAATATCACATGGTTTGCAGATGATACGTGAATAAATTGTTCAGGGTACTGACAGTAATATCATACCTTTGTAGATATTACGTCAATGTAATTG